TGGATTAGTATTACTTAAAAATCTTGGATATAGATAGAATAATTAATTGAGATTTTTAGTTACGCGGGGTAAAATTCGTAAAAGATTAGAGTTACGAACAATCCAAATAATTCGATTACTAATTGTGGGCCCCAAAATGGGCTGCTAACTGTCTTCCCCCCCCCCCTGCCCCCCCCCCCAGAGCGAGTAGAGCGAAAAGTCTTATATTATACCATTTTACGATATTCGCAACAGTAATCAAAATATTAAATATTAAAACCAGGCAAGTAAAATCGTGCCGAGGAAAGCTGAGTCCATTCGAGTCACAGCACGATCCAGTGAATTCCACATTAGCTGCCGGTATAGAACCGTGCTGTCCTGAGTCATAACTCAAGTGACTCGGCGCTTTTTTCAGCTTTATATTTGTTAGAGTTTAATATTCAATAGCATATTAAATTAAATTTTGATTATTATTGCGAATATCGCGAAATGTGGTATAGGACTTTTCTGTTCATCTCGATCCGCTCTGCTCACTCACGTGAGAAAGCGCGATTATTACATGGCACCCTGTATAAATATAATCATTTACTTAACGTTTTATGATTATTCTGTCATTATCAATAATGATGATAATTGTATCGTTATTATTACTTTAAGAAATTTTTTATACGTTAAGATTATTCTTACAGTTATGAACCGAAATTATGAGGCACAAAGTAATAATATAAGTAATAAATATATAAAATACTGGAAATGATAAACTGGCAAATTACTTGATTGTTGAATTAAAATGTAAATCTAATAATAAATAAATCTGCGTTAAAGCAATCCCCGTGTAAATACAAGATATATAAATACAATACAATACAAGTAAAATACAAAAGAACAAGTGTACAAGAGAAAGATGCACGTTAAATTTGTAGTGTTAAATTTAACTCGATGATAAGTCGCCATTGCGATTCCTATAACTCGGTATGTTGTTATCGTAACTAACTAGAACTTCAAAGAAACTATAGAAACGAGTAGCAGTTCTGTGTTTTGAACTATATTTTATATTAAAATAATTTAAAATTTTGCCACATAAAAATAGCGACATATTGAGTAAAAGCAGCAGCGACTCATCATTGAGTCAAATTTAATACCACAAATTTCACAGCGCGTGAACATAAATTAGGAAACTTATCTAAATAGCTTTGTGTTTATTAACAAACATTTTTCATTGTACAAATAACACTTAAGGAATGAAATCAAATGGCACATAAAAGTTGTGCGAAATTTTTTAAAATATATTAATTGTGGTAAAGACGTTCTTCCGCGTTTCTCTTTTTATTGTTAAGTTTTTCCTATAATATTAATGCTTGTAAATTAACTTTTGATAAACTGGAATAATGGAATAATAAATATATTGTGATAATACGAATATAATAATTTACGAACTACGTGATTTTCTAGCGTCTATAGGGACCCATAAAGGGTCGTTTTTTATGCGTTTCTAAAAAAAGATCCCGTTGGAAGTAGGTTTTTGGTTTAATAAAAAAGTTGTGGAGGAAAATGTGACGGATACCGTTGCGGCTATTCACCACTTTTTCCAGTTTCACGTAAAAAATTGTAGCATTAAAAAAATCGCACAAGAAAAAGAGTATACAAATAACACGATACAGCGTCCGTCGGGTTATAACGAGAAACGGAAGTGTGATACATGTTCAGATATATACATAATTTAATTTGTAATGCGCTCTAAACTTACGTCAATGCGTTCTACGAGCAAAACATATCCAAGAGAACGAATTTGATGGAGTACAGCTTGTCGTCATTCAACTTTCTCAATTATACTAGAAGAAATATAAAAAATTTATTCGTTGACCTGTTTGTGGAAGTATATAAACTACACATTGATCCAGAAAAAAAATTATTAAACAGTTTCCTCACAAAATGATTCGAATTGATATACATTTTCGAAAAAGAAGATTATGCATATTAAGATTAATTTGTTGAAATTAGAATAGATTTTTACTTACCGCAAGATAGTAATGCACTGAGCCATTTAGCTAAAGGATAATATTCCTTTCAATAACACTCATTTCGTGTATGTCGTCATTCGTCGATTTTTACTCCTTTAGTTCCTTTATTTATGCAGCTCACGTATATCGTATAAATGTAGTACTCCTATTTTAGAAAAAGCTTCTGTTTTAAAATATCACGTTTTAATAGGATTTCCGCCTTCTTTACAGTTTTAGGGAAAGGGTGCGAGTTGTCTACATTAGAGAGAAAACAGATTGCGCTTGCCGGAAAAAGAATCTTCGAATAATAGTGCGGTGCACAAACCGTAGATTTTATGTTTCTCCGAGATTGAATCAATTGAGAGCGAAGTACAAAATTTGTTTGTTAGTACAAAATCTGTCGTCGTTTCGGAACAATCTACATGTGTGTACTTTCGATTATACATTAATTATCTTGTGCACTTTTAAATTTCTTTGCTAAAAATAATCATCATGTCGCAAACATCGAACAATGTATTTTATTGTAATTATTGCGAACTATATCGTTATAATATTTTTTAGTATTGTAGGATGTTCCGTAATTGATGGATATAAGGATGGATATAATTTTAGCAGTAGAGTTTGTTGAAAAACTTGAAATTTTATGAGAATCTTATTTCGAAGGAAAGGACTTTTTGTACATATAGAATCACCGATGCCTTCCGATATGAATTTATGCACAGGTAGAACGCATATACATTTTTCATGTAAATATATGCAAAATGTATAAATGTGTTGATATGTGCGTAAATTTATGTGGAAAGGTATCAGTGATTCCTAGTGTACATACAAACATTTTAGAGCAATATTATAACAATATAATAAAATTTCTCTATGTACAAATTTTATTGAAAATTAATAGTATAACATTTTATAAATAAATAATATATTTTTTAATCTCGCAATTACAGGTTGGTACAGTTTAAAACGTCCCTAATTCATATTTAGTTTATTTAGTAAGTTTTTCTAAAATAGGAGTTCTACAAGTAATACTTTTAAAGTTTTAAAATATTATAATTCGTCAATGTTTAATTTTTTATTTGTTTTATTTATTATTGCACTGCAATTTTTTTGTTGATTAAGTTTGATAGGGAAATAGAGAAATTATATTTCCGTGGTTTAAAATCATAAAAATTATACGGTAAAACGACATTTATGTGGCAGAAGGGTGAAAACTAACGGAACGCGTAAACTGTTACTGACTGTGAACACCGACACACTAACGGTTCACAATAACGGATTCCTTCTCGGAGAGCGGGTAATTTTTTTGTTAAATGCAAGTATGTGGTGGGTAAGGGTAGGGAAATCGGGGGGCTGAACATCGCCTCGTGTGGAAAACTTCCTACTGCCATTGGGCCACTAAATCCTGGGAGAGAGGGTACAACAGAACAACTATTGGGAAGTCGGATTCAGAAGTCAGTAGGTACTTTCGTTTCTTTCGCGCGACATATTTGCTCGAGTTTTCTCGCGTATACCGATACATATCGCGTTAAGGTTAGTGACTCCGCAATTATTTTTATTTCAGTCGTCCAAATTTCCGTAAGCAACAATTTCATTATTTTTTACCCTATTGCGAATCTACGTCCCTATCGCGGTGCCGATCCGCATTGATATCTATTCGGTAGTGAGATTGTCCACATGTCCAAAAAACTTATAATATCGGATATACCAAAGCTATCGTCTTGTAGTTAATCGAACGTAAAATTAATGAAAAACGGAACATTCCAGCGGAAGAGAAATCTTCGGAAAAGGGCGATATATATAATAATATGTATCGCCGCTTTAACACAGTGCCGAGCAATAGGAGTATCGTGGATCAAATGTGAGTAGTCCGAAATATTTAAGTGTCAAATATTTGAAAACGAGTTAAGGAAAAAATCTGAAATATCTGGGGACGACAAAGCTCATTGCTAATAAATTTGACAAGCGCGGAATATATATAAAACAAGGTACAAACGTAACATTATTTCACTTTGATTAAATTTTCTATAGGAATTTATATCTTTTATAGTTTAAGGATTTTGTAAGGAGTGTATTCCGTAAGAAAAAGTTTATTCTATAAGTAGTTTAACCCGGTATCTTCTTAATTCTTTCTTCTTTTCGCTCTTCGTTCCTTCTCTCTCTTTCTCTACAGTACATACCTTATAACGATACAACGTTACAAGGCAATTTTACAGAATGAACCCTTAAAACCGCTGTGTAATATTATATCTCTATAAGTTGAGTATCACTGTAGAGCAAGAGAGGAAGAGCGAAAGGAAGGAAACGCTAAATGCCCATATTCTGAATCCTCTTTTATCAATAAAGGTGTCTGTAAAAGATCTTTTTAGCCAATAAGAATCTTTCAAAATCATTTTAATGGCACTTTTATCGATAAAACAGGATTCAGAATATGGACCAAAGAGCTACACAGGTTATAGAGTGAAAATCTTCTTGCAGATTACAGGACTAAATCCTTGATGAATTAAATTACTTTTAGAAGTTTGAAGAAAAATGATACAGAGTTTGAAACTGCTTCGCAATCAAAATACTAATCAATTCTGTGTTTGTAAATTCCGTAATTAATACTTAAGAGAAAACTCACTTGGAAAGTTTGTCTCCTCGTTCTGTCTTTTGTTTCCTGTTCTTACTTGTTTTACTTTTTTATATTTACACAGAAATGTTATGATAACATGGTAAATTTCTTTATTATAAAGTGATGAATGTTTTGCAAAATGTAAATCTATATAAAGACTGTTATTTTTTTAAAAGAAATATGTCGTTAAATATTGATTTGTATTATTTAAATTAATAACGTTTTTATTTCTTTCTCTTCTTCGCCAGCTAATTTTCGTGATATAAATATTAAAGTATGAATTGTTTAAAAAAGATAAAGATATTCAATCAATCAATCTTTTATTCACTTTAGCTTACAGCCAGAAAGTGGGACTTGGTTTACAATAGAAACTTAACTCATTCACTCATCCAAAGATAAAGATATTTCCTTTCTATTTTTAAATAGATTATTCAATTTTATCGATTTGTCGATTTAATATATTGTCAATTTAATAATTTTTCACTGACAGACATCACATTATATTAATATTTATTTTTTCAGCGATTTTTCATCACCATACTCTCTACTACGTTATCTCTACTCTACTCTGTAGTATCTGTTGAATGAAATTTCAAGTGTACTTCGTTGCTTTGCCGTTTTCTATTTATTATTATGATCTTGACGTACGTCTCGGCTGGAATTTCGAAATACCATCAATGTTTTGACCTTTACAGAATAATACAGAACATGAATTTGTTCGGAATTTCAAAGCAGGAAAACAGTTATCGAGATCATTGAGCATAAGTTGATAAAAGTTCTCGTCACTTGAGTTTATCGATTTTAAATTCCAACACTTGTAAGGAGAGAGCACTCCTTCTTTTCTATACTGCCAGAAAATATATTTTATTAATAAATAGCGGTATTTATCAAATAAACAAAGATTTTTTAACTTCTCATAGAATCGAAACATAGAGTGAAGGATATTCTTTTAAAACACCTAAGTATAGATTTAGGGACGTGTACGGAGTTGTTTTGATATTAAATATTATATTGAGAAAAATATCCGATTAAATATAATCGGATAATCCAGTTACATAATAACAAACGAATATATTCCGTTAAATTGTATATCCGATGAAAAATGTGTCGGTTTTTCAATCAAATTTCGTCGGTAACTGCATTTCATCGGATAAATTTCATCGGATGTAGCCATAATTTAATCGGAAAACGTAATCGGAAAAATTAACCATCGGACACACCATTTAATTAGTTTATCTGATGAAAATTTTTCTCAGTCTATAAAAATAATCGCTTCTTTTAGCATTGAAGCGAAGGTTGCTATATGCTCAATTGTGTTTGTAACAGCTTCACACTTTTCTTAAAAAAAGGTATCTATCTGTTTTAAGCGAATTCTGTACATAGAAAGGAGAATGCTTTCAAAGAAATTTTTATTTATGGCCTCGGCTTTTTATTTATGGTCAATGGTACAGGTTAGGTATATGTGTCGAGCCTACCTCAAGTTCTTAACAGTGGGATGTCTCGAATATTTCTACAATACATTTGCTGCTCCAGTTAACAGAATAATTCGAAATCTCTAAAGAGCGAAACACCTTGGAGAGGAAAGACATAAATCATTTTTTTGCTTCATATAGGAATACGAAATTTTCCAAGAGAAAGCGTATATAATTTATATTAATGGATCTATCTATATAGCAATACATATGTTATAACGATAATGAAACGTTGCTCCAAGGTCTCCTGTTATTTCTCAAAACTTTTAACAACAATTAATGTTGAAGTTATAATTTGCATTTAAACTCACATTTATAAAATTGGACAAATAAATTTGGAATTTTGGAAAATGTATCATTTTTGCGTTTTTTAAATATAATATTAGTATTCTTTGTTGTCATCTTTATGGTTTTAAGATATTTTAAGATTTTTCTGATTTTAGATTTAATTTTTTATAAATTGAATTATTCCTTGTATCATAAATCATGAATTATTTTGTACATAAAGTAATAATTTTCTAAATAAGTATTTTTGAACGAAATCACATTTTATTTCGCTGTTTAAAGCTCTAAAATTAAGCTTTCTTTTGTTTAGTCCGCTCAACACTGCAGATATTTTGATAAATTTGTAACATTAGACTTTTAGAAAATATTTCAGTGAAATATAAAATTTTTTTAATGATGAAGTGATTGACGTGGTATAGTTTGTCTGGGAATTGACACCATATACCTAATTGCTCTTGCGGGCACTGACTTTATTTGTTTATTCTCAAAGAATTTGCAATTGTGATTAGGCTCTTTTTACTGCTTATTTTACTGTCATTATTAAGCTTAGTCATTATTAATCAAACTTGTATTTTCGACTTTCTAATATTTTGCCAAAGTTATGTCGACAGAATTTAGGATCTAAAATTATAAGATTACGAAATAAGCATATAACAGAATTTTCTGTTATAGTGATTATTCATAAAACGTATTTATATACTTTGAATATACCTCCGACCATTTGCTGCGCTTGTCAATAAATTATATGAAACTTTATGAGAGAGAGCGTAATGTCCGAACAGGCTCTAGGTTCAAGAAATTTTATATGTATTTGTTACATATCACGATGTGTGGATAATACGTTTTCAGATTCTTTCTTACTTTATTGATTTTATTAATCATTTTGTTAAAAAATGACTATAAATTAAAACTTAAGATTCTAATCGATATTTATCATACAATGAAATTATTTAATACATCAAAATTTTATTTTTCGTCGCAGATTCGTGCTTCCCATTTAAAAAATATATTTTATTTTACTCTCCGATTGGTATTTTTTCACACTTTCAAGAGCGTCAAAATGGAGAGATGCAAGAACGTATCTCTGGGACGCGCGCCGGATCAACAACAGCATCAACAAACTACCATCGCGGACCAACGTCCCTTCCTATCGCCAACCACGCCCGCTTGGGGTGATAGAAACGTGGTGAGTAATCGCACAACCCCTCTCCGATTGAGCTTCATCTCCCTCTTTCTTTCTCTCTACAATACGAATCGCGTACTCTATTCTCTGGAGCCTTCCCCCTTTATATTCAACAAAATGTCGACGTGGAAATACGATGGAAGTCGTATCGATATTGAGTCATTGTAACTGAAGTGTGAAATGTTTTTTTCGCGCTTGCACCTGTTATGTTGCTTATTCTTTTATTTCACTGAATATACATATATCGTTATGTTGTACAAATAGACATAAGAATGTAAATTTTACGAGTTGATTGGCAAGTAATTCCAGGATATAAAAATCGAATTTTTTTTTAACATTTTAAGAGATTTTCGTAGATATAAATATTTAAATAATGTGTCGCGAATAATATTATTTTTTTAAATAACATCTAATGTATTAACATTTACACCAAAATTATATAATATATATTTTTATTTTATACATAATTATTAAATTATATTAATTTTGATTTACTAAATTGAATTTTATATAATTATTAAATAATATTAATATTGTATGATAAATGTATTGTAATCATAAAAAATAACAGGTTTATCTGAGAAAGAGACAAAGTTGAATTGTTTCCATAAATTCTTTGGGTTACTTATCTTTCAGTCAATAGAATTATTTAATTATGAATTTTTAAAAATTTTTAATATTAAAGTTATTGACGACGGAAAAAGACTACGACTCAATCTTTTTGTACGGCTTTTGTACTCGCATTAGCCTACCCTACCCTTCATCGGTTTTTAACATTATTTAATACACCAAATTTTCCGATCTTAAGACACTTATCCTGTTACACGGAAGACTTTATAAGATTATTTTTATTATCTATAGAGCGAACGATCGACGGAAGAGACTAATAACAATTTTGGTTTCTCGTTCATACCAAGTTTGGATCCAAGCACACCCAATTCGAGATTTCCAACCAATATTCTATCATCCTCGAGTAATAGCATTTTATCTGCACGCGAATTAACCGAGAATACCACGAATTCGTCTAATGATGCCACACAATTACCTAGGATTTGTAAATTATGCAACTACGTTGTGAAAGAGAGGTATAATATTCAATATTAATTTGTTATGTTTATGAACTATATGTAGAGTGCACAGGATGCCAAGGTTAATCAATTGATGAAAGAGCAAATTACAAAGAATAAGTAATATACACCGACTATACGTATCCCTTCCATATTCGGATAATAACATAAAATGTACATAACGTTCGCTATTCCGATGGCTTCGCCATACTCATGCGTGTTTCGTCAAATTTATTTTATGAAATTGAAAAAGTCTGTTGAACTCGTTCTGAAAAAATTAAATATGATGGTCTCCAACGTGCACTGCTACATTCAATATAACGCTTTCCCGAGTACAGCAAAATGAATTATTATTATCATCTAAATTCTATCTTTTTAGAACGGAATATATCGAGCACATAATCAATCATTGCACATTCTCAAAAGAGACATACGTCGGAGATTTCTTAAAGGGATACGTTGATGATGAGGAGTTTGATGATTCCGGTAACGAATCACAGAACAAGGGGAGAAAGAAGTCCAAAGTATCTAGACCAAAACTCTGCAGCAAATGCAAGTTTACGGCATCGACGAAGTTGAGCCTTTGGTTGCATGTGCGTCAGCACTTACTGCAAGACGAATGTTCTGGCTTCGTTTGCGTTATTTGTCCGTTTGCCACCACGCTCAAACATCATATGACATTTCACTGGTTCAGCGCTCATGACGACTTCAAGGCGTTCACTTGTACGAGATGTCAATATGCATGCGTGAGCAAATCAATGCTAACTAGTCATATGAAAACGCACTCCACAGTTTATCAATATAATTGCGGGAGTTGCACGTACCGGACCAAATTCTGCAACGCGATGAAGAAACATCTGAAAGATACTCAGCACGTAGCGGGCCCGGTGCTAAAACCAGACGGTACCCCGGATCCGTTCGCCACCATCGATATTTACAGTAACAAACGTGGGCCCAGACGGAGGCAAGATACGGAGCCGACAGAAACTACCTCTGTAGAGGACGAGCCGTCATTTTCGGGGACAATTCCTCCAGTTTCGGTGGTTCGGACCTCGTCGATATCATCGTCCCCGATTTCGCTTGTAACCTCGGACTCGCCGGAATCGAAGATGCATGATGCCACGTCGATGTCGCCATTCCGGACGACACCAACCAAAATATCGCCAGAGCGACCATCGTCAACTTCGGTCTCATTTAATCACTCCAATTTTCTGACCAGTAACTTTCTGGCTACGTTTAATAGAATGAGAGATGAGAACGAAGTAGATCTAAGCGGTAACGATCCAAGCGCTAACGAGAAGATCCCATCGTCAACTACTATATACGCCAAGTTTTGTGATATGTTGCTTAGTGATATAAAGACACGTTCGGATTTTGATGAGCAGCAATGCGGACAAATGTTACGTATTTTCTGCAATACTCGAAAGTTTTTATCAAAACATTTTAACTCCTCGGCCGACATGATTGATACGAATGGAGATCTTTCTGATAACGAGGCGATGGATACTGACGAACCCTCGATGTTGACGACGATGGATATTAATCAATACTCGACACCCATGACGCTGACCTCGGAACCTCAGTCGAAAGTGGGAGAAAATGTAATTTCAGATGCGCCATTGGATCTTAGTATGTCCGCAATGTCAAGAGTAAAAAACCAACTGCAGTTTCAGGAATCAGTTGCGAGTTCCTCATCTAGACGTAAAAATAAGCGTAAAGTGATAAGGCTAGAATATCCTATAATAAGTGAAAACGCAAACGATGATGAGACACAAACGCAGGACACGAAAAAACCTCGTACGGAACTTTCCCCGTCGCTTCTAGAGGCAGGTCAGTCTGATCTACGCCGCAGAAATAAAACGCTTAACATGACACATAATGCAAATATATGTAATTCATCATTTGTTTGTTCTTATTGTCACATTGTATTTGCGAATAAGCTCATGTACGCGATGCACATGAGTTTTCATAGCGACACAGACCCCCTCACGTGCTCATTATGCAATCAGCGATCCACAAATATACTTGCATTCTTTTTCCACCTTATTCGAACAAAACATTAGTAATAAATGCTAAAAGGGGGGGGGGAGAGGGATGACATTTCACATAGATCGTGCGAGAAAAGGAGAAAACTGTTGTCTCATAATCTAGTCAGATGCGAGTGTGGAGCACTTGTTTATCAATTGGAGACATACAGGAATCAGGAAAATAAGTTCCTATCAAACATTCTGTAAATGTAACTGTCCCGATTTTGGTGTCATTAGCCGACAATTGTGACGCACAGGTATTGAAATCAGAATAGTCACCTCAAATGTAATATATTAACTGCTATTTCTAGGACAACGAATAAAGATTATATTTGTAGAAATTGTATAAAACATTTAGAGAAGTATATAATTCCGATACTGATTTCAACTCTGGCAATGAACAGAAGAAATAAAGAGGCTGGTATCCCTTTTTTTTCTAATAAAACGTAGAAATTTTGTACAAAAGTTATTAATACAGTTTTTCGAAACATTTAAAATTATTGCATTCAAAATTGGTCAAGCAGCTCGTCATTATTATTTCATATACATATATGTATAGGATATAGGACTATCAGCCTTCTCTCAGATCAGGTAATTGTTCCAACTCTCTGTTTTGCAAACTTTCTGAAAATTTCTTTTTACAGCTTACACAATATATGTAATTAGATACGATACCAAAAAAGGTGTAATAACAAAACTAGCGTATTATTAGATAAAATCGAATTTATTTCTCCTAGTTTTACACTTGTCATATTATTTCTTAGTCTTGATCTTTATTCTCTGTCTTTATGCTGTCGGTTTTTCGCTTCATTACCTCTCGTTTATTCTTTCGCAATAATATCGATTGTCAAAACAAGAGTGTAAGTTATTTATAAACGTTTCAACTTCTCTGAACAGAAGAACAGAAGAAATTTTTTCGATTTCTAATGTTACAGTTTTATATTTCTTTCTTTTTATTGTTTCACAATTTGAGATAAGATGTATAACAATATGTATATCTAGTGATGTAGTTTGTGTAAGTAATTACCTTCACTTTTGTTAGACTTATTGATATTATGCGAATTTCCTTTCTCCGCACGTAAATCTTACTTATATGTCAGAAAAATAAATGGTGGTTTACGTACGAAACTATTTCTGTTATGTTTTATGCTTTTTCTCTTATTTCGGCCAGTAATTCTATTATTTTTGCGTTTCGAATTATTCCGACTCGGCATATTATCACAATAATTACATATTGCCGTCGAAAAATTATATACGGTTTCTTTATAAATATTACCGCATAGAGTCATGAAGCTCTAGAGAATTAAGAATATAAATGTAGGACTTAGATTATACTTAAATGCGTATACATGTGGTAAATTTCGAAGGGCTTATTAATTTCGAATAGCTATCGCACAGTATACAAAGCGTGCAGCTTGAATAGCGGTCAAACCTCGCAATCTTTACCATATTTATGCGATTAGTACATATTTAAAAAGCTCGCGACACAAATATACGTCGAGCTCGCGATACAAATGAAACGATAAGAAACGAATGGACAAATATTTTACGTTTGTTAAAAAGTTCAAAAAAAAATTTGTATGAAATTTTGTATATCGGACATATAACTGCTTGAAACGTACCAACGAACCTTTCTGATGGAAAAATTGATCTGTGATACCGAGAGATTAGATTAAATGCTAATAATAGCCATTCTACATGTCGCATATAGTAATGTAACATTAGGTGTAAATTTGATATCCTGTTTTGCGGTCAACGTTGAACGTAAAAATAGGTATACCATGATATGAGACGAACCCGTGTCATGCAACGCACTGATTCTTTTTTTACTTCGCTCGTATAGAATAATTTAATGCAGACAGCCGCATATCATATATATGCTAGCAAATACGTAAAAAAGAATTAGAAATAATATTTTGCTGGAAGATGTTTGCAAAATATTTAAGTTTATACAATGAAGTATAAACTGTTGCTTTCGCATGTCACGAGCTTATCTTTCGGAGCAAACAAACAATAGAACTGGACACTCAAAATATCGCGAAAGTTTATTTTTATATAAACTTTTTTTTCCCTTCAAATTAAATCGCGATACATGCAAAGTGAACTTCTTTTCCATCAAGTGTGTTCCACAAATCAATCTGAATATCCGAACGTTAACGAATATTTTCTGAGCTTTATCATTAAATTTCGCATTGTCCGTTTATTCGCGTAATGTACGCCACTACGAATCTTTTATGAGTTGTTTTCAAGATTAAACGGTTCTTAACACGTTGGTTTATTATATCTATATCTATGACATTAATAATAACCGGTTATACCGCTGGTATAGTATTAATTAATGTCGTATTGATATACAATACAATTAGAAGTGTTTAAGCAGTTATATCTACAGTTATATTATGGTTTCTCTATTTTTACTGATGTCAAAATAGAGAATCGATAATATATAAGTAATTAATATTTAAATATCCAAATCTTCGACATAATAATTGACGCCTAAAGTAATGTATTCGTAAACAAGTAAATTCTGACGCATTTTTACTCCTTTATGCATATACTTATACAGGTATACCGAAGTATTAATGATATCGAAAATAATGCCATTTCGAAATTGAATATTTTCTTCCTTAATGGCCGAAGGATCTGATTCCTAGAAATCGCATGACACGTTTAATGCGACAAATTCAAATTTACATAATAAATCACATAACTTTTGTTATTATTGCTGCGTTGCATTTAAGAATGAGATCAGATAATTTGTATACGATGTAAGCATTTACAATCGTATCCAATTCCGAAAATTCGAAAAATTTTGTTCCGCATGATCAAATATTCGCAAATGTAATCGCACCCTTTATACCATTCATTCGTACGAACGAAGCTATTAAAATTTACAAGATCTGTAAATTTGATGTCAAAATTGTATTATAATCTTCGGTGTATATGTATAAAGGATTATATTATGTTACTATAAAGCATTTAATGTGTGTTTCCATTTTGATTTATTTTTGCTTATAACTGATTTTTTATTTATTTCAACAAATAAAATGTGCATCATATATAGCGAAAATGATTAATCACAAATTATATTTGTGTCATTTAAGATATTTTTTTTATTATGACAGCTATATGTTTCAGTTTTGTTAAACATTTTCAATAAACAGAGGAATCTAACATATATATGTATGTAAGGAATTTTTCCTGGTGAACGTTTTCCTAAAATTTGAGCTAGTATCCTCATGAACATTTTTATGTATTGTTTATAAAAGTTTAACGCTCGCATACTGCACGCGTATTTGTCCCTGATTCGTGTGATATACTTTGGTAACTTTGGTAACTTCAATATTGAATATTATTAATGTCATAAAATAAATCTTAGAATTATTTCAATAATATGATAAAAGACTTAAAACTTATATTGTGCATATATTTTTAACATTCAAATATGTAACAGAAATTTCCGAACTGTCTAGAAACTAAAATGAAGCTCAGAGTCCGGAAACTTTTGTACCATATTATTTCAAGCAAAATGATTATTTCAACTTTTGTCTTGCTATAAAAACGAGAATATTTCTTGTCAATGTATGATGCAAAAATTGTCAATGACATAAAATATGTGTTGTTCTATAAGCTTATTAAAGTATATAATGTATTTTATATACATCAAAGATGCGATAAATTTGCCAACTAAAACTAATTTCATAAAAATGAAAAAATAGCAACAATTTTAATATAATAATTAATAACAAAACTCACGTATTGTATTTCAGTAAATTATCTTAGATGGAATGCTAAAAATGGTTTTGTTTTTAATGAAGACGAATGTTAAGTAACTTTTCGTAATAAATTTCTCGAATGCTTCTTGTTTAGATTCCGAACGCTGCGTGTCTTTTACACCACGTTTTACAATCTAACGCCAACATCGGTCCAGGTTGTGTTTCAAGAAGTTCATCAGTAATGACACGACGGAGCCATTACACTTCGAAGAAGCATCTCTACAACCATATGCCAATCCATATTTGAACAAATAATCCATATTTCATATCGATATACTTGATAAAACCATGTTAATGCCTGAAAATGTAAAAGATGGTATAACTTCAAATGGATACAAGGAAAACGTATATCTAGTTTATTAAAATTTGATATTAGAATTATACAAATTGAATTTCACTAGAAATATAACGTTATTTAAATCTCTTCTGAGTTTGAAGAATAAAATCCTCGTAGACACATACACATTTCTATTCATTTCCATAAATCATATGAATTTAACTTGTCCCTTTTCTGTGCTGCTTTAAATACAGTACAGTCACACAATACACAGGTAGCAAATAACATAAGGAAACACAATAATAAAATGATTCTATTAGCCTGGTTGCACATTACAAAGAAGATTACAGTTATCGACTTTGATAGTTTCGTAAGGATGACTTTGATTTAAAAATGGAGTTGCTGGTTATTACATTAGTCCTTCGAAATGACTTACATGACTAATTGTAAGTCAAAGTACATGTCATTGTATTTTTTAAGTGCGATATGCGAGTGTTTTGTTTTTAAACTTACCTTTATATTGGACGATATAATTCTTTGTAATAATTAGTTATTGTGGGCGAATTATCATAACGAATTGAAAACTTTGGAAGTATGTAAAATCGCGATCTTACCATTTCAGAAGATCGCTGATAACTGACGACTCTATTAGATATGTACTTGTATTATAACAAATAGTGTCGTGTGTTTTTAACAGGCGTCATTGTGGAAGATGTCAGGTGTCAATAGCCAAACATATTTAAAAATATATTTTAATATATTGTAATATTAAATTATTTTTCGAAGAATGTATAAAAGGCAAATAACGAATTATATTATGTTCTTTTTCCATCAATCCCTTGATTTAGATAATTTTTGGCATTCTATAATAATTGTAAATCGTTTATGGATTAAGAGCACGTGAATTTGCTGACGACAATGATTCCACCTAATGAAACTGTGTTATACGTCCGAAAATAACGACGCGCAGCACTGGTGAAAAACGGTATGTGAATTCACATATTAGTTTTAAATTACTAGGCTACCTATATCTTACTCGATTAAATCTGTTAATACTCACAGATAAGTTCAGTAGTATCAGTTTTATAAACGCGTGTTGTTCGTGACAAGTTTCAGTTTTATGAGAAATAAGTACCTTTATTATCATTTTGGAAATACTTTTAGGATTAGTTAAGCGATGGCACATAATCCGATAGATGAAGAAAGTGTTGTCGCAGCTTGGACGCCGGATTTGTTCGGTCCCATTTTTAAGAAACACAGTTTGACAGTAAAACAGGTTAGATCTAAATTATTCACATGATATTTTTTGTCCTTACCTTAATGTAAAACATTTTATTTTTAACATTTTACGCACTGTGTATCTTCGATTCTAATTTAAGTCTTTGTTTAGGTACTGGATTTGCGTGATGAAGACGAGCAGATTCATCGTATGGCAACTTTCGTACCCGACGAAGTGATATACGCAACAGATTTATCAGAAAAGAGCTTACAAAGCTTCCGGGCAGTTGTAATGCATCTAAATATTTCGGGTTGGCATCACAGTTTTGCGTTTGCACCAATTTTACATCCCTTTGCAAAGAAAATAAAAATATTGCATAACAGCAGATTTCTCGATGCTGTTTAAGACATACATTCACAATAAAAACGGAGGAAGTTTAGCCTTGACTAAAACGTTAAATGATTACATCTACGTTGCGGTTCGCGAAATATATTGCAGCGAGGGAGACATACTAAAATTTTCTGGTGAGAGAATATCCAAAGTAGAATGCATCAACAAATAATTATTTTATGTTGAGTCACACAAAACTTGTAACCATTTGAACTGGAAGAGATTGTTTTAAAATAACACGTTAAAAATATAGCCGAGGGATTATTAGCAGCATGGAAAGTACGCGATGGTGAATTTGTGTTCGAAGTCGTGCAAAAAGCGATCGCGCGCGCGACATGTATACAAGATTCTATAGCAATCTTGAAAGATGCCAGCGGTATTTATAAAACTATTTGCTATACGCAATGACACGATTCGAAATATTCAGTTCAATATAAACTGTTCAATACAAAACTTTAACGTAAGCAATTAAAATAAAATCTCTCGTACTGTTACATTCAAGATAAAAAAGCGAACGCACGTGTTTCGTTTCGTGTACCAGATGTACTTGTATACGCGGTTCTTCGTGATAATCGCGATTTTTAATTAACAGTGAACGTGGCTATCTCAGTCGGGGATATAACGTTCTCGGTGATCGGTAGCGACGAAGCTCGGCATTTCGTGATCTACGGTTTGCCGATTGAAGAGCTAAAAAGTGCGAAAAAGGTCTCTCTGCCGAATGACTTGGTACTATCGCTGAGCGCATGGCAGCATTGCACGCCGAGTGAATACGAATACGTCATCAAAGATCAGTGTAATGTGAAGGTACGGTGACACTTCAGTTCGAAAGTATGTAGTAACGGTGACAGTCTCTGTGACATTCTAAACTACAGGCTAAAAACAAATGCTCTCTTGTCTTTTTCTGCTCGATGTGAAAGTTAACGCCCACCAGCTAATTTAAAGCCAATTAAAATTAGCTCTTTGCATACATTTTCTTTATTACTGGTCTTAAAATGTACCTTTTGTACTTCAGTTTTAGTTACGTCTCTTAGCGGCGGCTTACGCTCCAAAATAGCCTGTCCTTAAAGAATCAACGCGAATCTTTTAATTTATAGAAACGCTTTCTTTTAATTTATTCAGATAATAAGAATGTTCAAGCAGTGCGATACAAAATCACATGTGGCACCGACATTGAGCGATCACGTCGATGCCAACTATGAAATTTCCGCCGACGAGCAATTTATAACAGATACCATCAGACCATCGTCACCTTACAGGACACACTTGATATCTATTAATGGAGAATCGTATTCCGAAAAAGAAGCTGCTAATAAAAAAGAGAAAGCTCTGACAGGTGAAATAAATTATATTTGTTCACTGTGCGAACTCTTCTGTATCCCTTCTGTATCTTTTCGCTTGTTTTCTTCTATTCTATCTCGCTTGCATTGCTCGTTTTTTTATTATCAGAGAGATTAATTGCGAGAGGTTAATTAGTTTTATCTGTTAGAGTCAAAACGATATCAGTTTACTATTTTCGTACAACTATTAGAAATTAGTATATATATCTTTAATTATTTATTGTCAATCACTTCGTTTTATTTTCAAAAATATCTTGCATAAATCCTAAATTTAATACTGTTGTGGAGTGGATAAAAGGACATTATTTTTTATAAACGTGTCCACCAGCGATCTCTGCGATAGCAGCTGTAAACCCAAATTTCGTTACACAGTTAAGAAGCTACTTGGTAAAGCCCGTAATCCAACAGGTACTGTTTATCGCAAATTACTCCGGCTGTGACAAAATACAACTTGTGAATACCTTTTTCAGAATTATTCATTAAATATGTTTCGCTTCTCGCAGATTGAAAAGGGTGAATTATTAAGATACTTAGCGGAGGTCAGACGAATTACAGTACTATCCATCAATATCATTCCAGATAAATGTTCAGACAACGAATTAATACTTTTGGTCGACAAATGTTTTCTGCTTTTGCATAGGTGTCGTCAATTTTGTCTACAATTAATACATGTTATTAATATAGAGATTTGAGAAGATTATTTTACAAATAATCCTAATAAAATTGTAGAAATTGTTTTAGGTATTAGTTCTCTTATTCTCAAAAATTATGTTCAATTATATTTCTACAATTAATATGCCGCTGTTTTTTTGATAGTCACATTGTTACATTTATCGGGAACAATAAAAAATAAGTTACTTTTTATTTATTTAGCATAGTTACGCAATACGAAGGTTGTATTAACACAGTGAATTTATACGAGAAGAATATTGTTTTCTGTATTGCATTTGGCATACGCGGATACAGCAGTGAAAACCAGTTTAAAGTCGACGAAACGTGTAAAAATGGAATCACTTGTGCCATACATATATTACAGACCCTAAAAAGTGTCGCCGGGATTCAAAGCGCTTTTGTTGGCGTTTCAACAGGTAAAGGATAGATACATCCTTCTTTTTTTAGTGAAGATATCGTCTATCTTCAATTTCTTAAAAAAGTCTTCCCGGAACGAATTAGGTCTAGTAAGAATACTTCCCATTGTGGTTTCAACATGGTACGTCAGATTACACAGCCCCATTTAAAAAAGTTGTCCGAGCCAAAGACCAGACAAGTGTATTCTTGTGTGTATTTTGGTCAGCTGAATCTGAACCCGTGGACAGAATTGAATAATTGCTAGATATATCGTCCCTAACTTAAAAAAAACTCATACTTTCACGAAATGGGCACTTTTGCTAGACGTACCCACTCCTCGGTCTGCGGAACTAAAGTAATATGAACGTGCTTTTTTTAGTATTTTGACACGCTGAATACAAATCCGAGGTGAGAGTTGCTCCATCAGGTCTCGAATTCTCTCCAAACTAAGAAAATGCATTCAAGTTCCCCAAACAACTGCTTCTCGAGCTGTTTTTGGGGGAATTTGGGAATTGGGGATTAATTGATTTATGAAGTTCGACTATAAAATTCTTGATTAATCAAAAGTCTGCTAAATAAACGATTGAATTTTTTTACTTTAAGTAGGGTATAAGTTTTTTTTCACCTCGCAAAATAGTCTATTAGAGCTGCAAAAACAATTCAATTACTACGAGTACCTCTGCTTGTGATACCGGACTCTCTTACTCTCAAAGGATCTGTGCGATGGTTTTCTCTTGCGTTTCTTTCCCCTCGGTGATACTTCCCTTTTTTGCAATATTTTATAACAAGAATACACTGGCCTTTGGTCCAGACAACTAGTTTTTTGTGGGGCTGTTTTATACATATACAGTATATACCTCGGTCGCTACAAAGTTTCAATATTGTGATATTAGTATAGCTGCTAGATTTGTAACTCCAATTTGATTTTAGGAATGGCTTATTGCGGTGTGATTGGACATATTGCTAGAAGATATTACGCAATTATTGGACCACCTGTCGATAAAGCTATAAAAATAATGGATATTTCCTGTGATAAGGTCATTAGTAGTCTGGCTAAAACACCTTATATCAGAAGCTTTGTTTAAAGATTAATTTAAAAATAACCATATGTAAATATATAAATGCATCTTTTCTCGCTTGAATTATATATTTGCGATATTTGTTGCAGGTTTCCTGTGACTATGATACCGTGTTACACAGTCATTTCAAAAAGGAACGATTTCGCTCTCGAGGCGTGAGAACATTGCAACGATTAGAGAAATATCATATCTATGAATATCTCGGCGAAACACCGTAAAAGTTTTAATTTGTTTTTCTCACTTAAATACGAGTAATAATGGAGTAAACAAAAATGAAATTTTATATTCGTCTTTAAATACCATGCGATTCGTATGCAATTTACATTCTCTCCATTTGTCGAAAATTTCACGAAAAATATTTCACAGTTTAATGATAAAATACCATATTGTATATTAAAATAATTTTTTGTCCTTTTATATATATGTGTATATTACATATATGTACATATACACAATATTCAAATAGGAAAAGAAAAAATTTAGACACAACTTCGTCTCTGGACTATTGTTATCCTATTTTGGGTAGACTGCACGAATTGGAATATTTCGACGATATTCTGGACGAGATTGGTGTGCCAGATCGGAAATATTCAGGATTGTTAATCGAGGTTTGACTTAAAGTTGCTGAAAATAAAGTGAGCGTTTACAAAACAAACCTGCCACAGCCTATAATGTAGTGTTACAATTGTAATAATTAATCTTTATATTTATATAATATTTATAATTTTATAATGACATACTGAAATATAAGTCATGCAAAATTATTATACTATTTTAGCTACTATAAAAATAAAAAGTTAAATTGATTTAACGTTTATTTTATAAGATCAATTATTTGCTTAGGGAATTGAGAGGTCCGGAAAATCTAGAGTTTTAGATGCCTTTGTCACGAGTGTTTGCAATAGACAAATAAGACCAATCAAACTTTCTCTTCATGCAACATATGCAGAAAAGGCTTATTCAGTTATATATCACATTATTCTGCAGGTACAAAACATGTGATTTGTTTTACTGTACAATTTTTTCTTTAGAACTTTTATACAGATTTCATAAAATAATTAAACTAAGAAAAGAATTTTGTCCAATAAACTTTTGAATTCTTAATCCATGTGTAAGAATAGAAAATTAATTTCAACATTTTTCAAAGTTTTCCTATTGTTTATTAATTCCTTTTTACAAATAATGCAATGCTGAAATACAACGAATAAAAAGAATGGAAGAGATGTAAATTTTTTAATTATGTAAAAACTATTCCTCGACTTTTAAAAGTGAAAGGTTATTATTACAAAAAATGAATACCCCTATCTGTGTCCTTTATTGACAATGAGCCCAGTTTTTTTGTAAAAGAGATAAATAATTCCGGATTATTCCACATTTCTTATAGATACTTGAAGCCGAAGATTGTGAGACGGTCGAGGAGCGTGAAAAGGAGTTACTTAATAAATTAGGCAATGTTCTCGCTTTGGAAGATTTCTGTTACCTGAATGTTTTGATGCGAGTGCGTTTTCCCCTTTCTGACGCCTATTGGTCAGACGCCGATTGGCGGCGTCACATAAAGACTATCGATATCTTCGAAACGATATTAAAGCAGGCAATGCCATTATTTTAGCTTGTAAACAATTTACAGCACTCTTTTAAAATCGCTTTCATGTAAATTTATATCATCATTTGTCACTCACAGTTGAAGACTAAAATCTGCATTTTGCTTGACGATATTCAATACATGGACCATAAATCCTGGCAGTTTTTGTCGTTGGCTCTGGATAACTGTAACACCGTCGTAGCGATGACAATGCCGAAGTCAAATTCTTGGGATGATTTGTCCCACGTGGTAACGGGGATTTATAAAGATAAAAGGCTAAGGAAACATATATTGCTCGGCCTGAGCGTAGGCCTGCTCCCGATATTTGCATGTCAATTTCTGAACGTTCTTGCGATACCCAAAAAATTGAGCAGGTACATGCCGTTTTTACGCGGTTAGCGCAGGGCCATAAATTTACTCAACGACGACAGGGTTTCTATTAGGACCTTACAAAAACGCAAAGATGGCCACATCGGATGGTGCGAGGTGTTTCTGATATCGATTCTTCAGAGTAACGGGTTGGACTTCATCAAAATATCGCCCAACGAAGCGGCGCAACGCGATCTCGTTTTTCCGACCGGCACACTAGTGACAAAGCTCCCGGTCGATTTGACACCGGATGAATTACCGCCGCCTTTATCCTGGTCGCAAATGAGTCTTTTGGACGTTTGTGTCACGAACCAAGCTTACCTTGAGATTACTGGGAAAGATCGCGACATGACAGGCAAATCAAATGTTTCATTAATATTTTTTTGTTACTTCTCGAAATATTTTCGGCATTAGATATAAATCTTTCTTTCTTCACATAATCTTTCACGATAGAGTAAAATAACCACGGTGACGACTCTAATGTCAAGCAATGCAATATAATGTTAGGTTCGTGACAACCCTAGTAGCACAATATATTGGCGCGATATTGAGAAATAATGTAAATCTAGTATTTTCAATATTGGCCTCATATTGTAAGATGGACGCCTTCTCTTATTTAGCAATATTGATTTAATATTATATGAATATTAGACCAATATTCTTATTACATTGTTAAATATTGACCAATGCACTTCTAATATAAATCTAATATAATTACTCAATATTTACATTTATTCCATGGCCAATATTGGTTTTACGTTGGACAATATCGGCCAATGTATTTCTAATATAATCAACATTGGACCAATGTTTAGCCAATGCACTGTGCTACTAGGGAATATTTTTAAATACACAGGAGAGCTTTGCAATCGTAAGAGATTATGTTGATTGTATCAAATTCGACATTATTTTTATCGCTGGATACTGTCTCAGTTTAGAATTGATGAGCGAGATTTACGATAGAATGAATCCTTACGAGCAAGATTTCATTAAGTGCGCCGCCACTCTGGGAAGAGTATTTAAACGGAGCATGATAGAAAACGCAATGAAAAATCCGGTCCCACTGCACACCACTAACAGTGAGCACAATTAATTGCAGTCCTCGAGTATCTTATTACAAACCAAATTGCACGCTGGCTTAAATGAACCTCACGTAACTCTACAGCCATTTCCGAGATGATCCGAATGCGGATATTAGAGTGCGCTTCGCTCCAGCGGCGAGATTTTCACACCGAGGATCTTATCTTCTGTATAGATAAGAAGCGGCAAACGTTCTCCGATATGCAGCACTCGTTATCTTGCAACTGCCATCATTCTCGTTAGTTCGGTTTCGAAAATATTTGAAATATTTCACAAGATATATTTAATATTAATAATTATAATTATAATTAATAATATTAATAGTAGTTAAAGGAATAATGATGCGTTTCACAAAGTTTTCAATGGGAAAAAATCGAATTAGCAAGAAATTAGAAACGAATAAAACTGCCCCATAAACTCATTTTGCATCGGCTTTGTGATTTATTTACGGATCAAATAATCCTGTGAACTTTTAGGAGCTGTTATTAGGAGCCATCATCTCTTGGCTCTTTATGCTCATTGTAAAATGCTAGAGTTCAGGGTTGATTCGTTTTGTAACATGATGTACAATATACAAACGAATGAAGAAAAACAGGAGCATCATACAAGAGCGGCTAAAATATACGACGCTCGAAAGTGCAGTTCCTGTGGTAGCGGCCGTTTTCTAAGAATTCTAAGCGACGATGTGCTAACAAAATTGGAGGTCATTAGAATTATAGACAATAATTAATTCCGAAAAATATATCTTTCCAAGATATAAATAAATTAAAAATTAAAGAATTTAGTAATTTCTTAAAAATAAATTCTTAATCTCTACATTTCAACGTAGCTTGTCCACAATATGGACAATGTAATTGTGGACAATAATATAATAAACTCAATCACTTTTAGGTCGGTTTGTTCAAAGTCTTCAAGACTAAAAAATTCATGATTTTGCAAATTTCATAGATTTCATTAACATTTTAAAATTTATGCACGTTTCTAAAGTGCATTTTTACAATTTTGTTGGAGAAACTAATTTGTTAAATACTTTTAGAAGGTAGACATGCAACAGACATCAGATTCGCCCAGACTTTCGTTGATCCGTCGTCGAACGATAATTGTCGAAGGAAAATGGGCAACTACTAAACCGAAACTTTTGACAAGAACAACTACCAATACGATAAAACAAGATTCTGTTGTTTGTAGAGTGTCTATTATGCCGACAAGTATTGGCGAAGAAGATGAAGGTAAAATCAATAAACGTATTACTTCTCATTTGTTGAATGTAAATGCCGCACATGTTTTCATAATAGTTTCGAGAAACGAAAAAAATGGAAGAATGAACGAATTGCCAAGATTTCGAAAGCGATCTGCGAGTATTTCTCTAGAAATGACGAAAGATCCTTCTCATCCAAGTTGCTTGGAGAAGTTCAGCCAAATCGATTACCGTAACTGTCAGTGTGACAATATCATCAGCCATCTTTTCTGGAGATTGCATCAGCACATGGAGAAAAGTGGTAGGCTAATATATTTTATAAAATTATCTTACAAAAATATTTGTACTATTTTTTAGCACAATCCCAATGATATGCGTAAAACCTTACAAAATCGGAGTGCAGTTATCAGCTTGATTTATAAAAAAAATTGTACCCTTACTTTAGGGGAGACTAAAAAAGTACTCAAGTTCTTTATCGAGTATAGTGCCGGAATGATCCAGATTGCTCAACCCCTTTATGCGATTAAACTTCTTTCGATCGCCGCTGAAAGAAGCAGAGCCGCCGAAGTGGACGAATGGATTGGCGAGAACGCAGAAGATAATATCACGGATAAAGGAATCATTCTAGCTTTAATGGGTCTGCGAAAATTCACGAGATATTCCGCGGAAAAACTTTTTTTAAAGGGGATGTATCGCCATTTTCACACATTATAATGTTAATCGTATTCAGGTGATGCTCACATCGCACTGGGAAATTACGATCAAGCTAAAAAGTATTACCTCTCGGCGGTGAATCTACGAAATACCCCACCCAGACTGGAGAGAGGCATCTTTTACAACGCGATAACAAAAATATTTTGTAAATTGGAAGAATCTCCTCGCTATACAGATGACGAGCAATCAAGGCGACTTATTATTAAAAACTTCGAATTGGCGTCATATTTGCGACGTCTTTGCGCCGTGTTTATGGTATGTAGCGATTTATTAAACTGCTGCAGAGGGTGTGTCGTTTAAACACGTTAGGTAAATTTAAAAATAGAGGATAACTATGGCGAATGTAATAACTCGCGTAACTTTTTACAGATAAACAATAAATTGAAAACAGCAGAGTCGTTTGCCTTGAGAAGTTTCGAGCTCGCGTTTCTAACTGTTAACAGTTTTCTGGAGAAAGGCGAAATATATCTCACGACAGTACGAGTTTTGTATTGCACAAGAAACATTAAGCTAATACAATCTGTCGAGAGGCCAATGCTGACCACGATAAGGAGCAAAGCTAGCTGGAACGATGCCGAGGAAATAGCGATGGTGGCAAATGTTTTTCTAATGATGTATCAAATTAGGTATAACTTGTTTTGAATTTCACGCAAGAATTAATTTATGTGTCTTGAACTCATTTATTCGCATTATATATGAAAATCAGAGTATTAAGAGGTGAATTGGAAGAAGCCGTAGACATGGGCATAAAAGTCTTGAAAATATCTGAGATATTGCATCTTAATAAATTGATGCTGATCACTCTGCCCTCGTTAATTCAGATAATGGTACTATTTAAAATTAATTCGCTTGCAAATTTCTTGCATTATCAATGAACATTTTCTAAACGACGCAAAGATCCAAAATTACAAATTTGTCTTTCGCATGCTTAAATATTTTTTGTATAGACATCTTTTGGATTTTTCGTTATTTGGGACGAATCGTCATTTTATTTTCGCTCGCATACTTTTATGTCCGATCAGCTATGGACCAGACGTGTTAATGAAGCCGTCGACTTGATGCGGCAACTGTACTTTTTGGCAGACGAAGACATAGATTTGTCAGCCAAGACATGGTATTATGCTCTTTCCTTAGATCTTATGCTGGATGCGGGAATAATATTGGAATCGTACAAAACATCTTATAACTATTATGAGAAATTTATTGGTAAGAACTATAGCGCAGTTTATATATGTAGATGTAGAATTAAAAAATCCTTATTTATAATTTCTTATAGAGGACATCCCGCCATCATCGTACAATGTTTTAATATTGTATTCTGGAAATTAATTACACGAAAATCCTGATGTGAAAACGATAGTTTTCGAATTATGAATGATTAAAATTAGCCAATAATAGTTGTGTTGAGTTCGCACGTTTAGGCCATATTTGCGCTCGCACACGTATCTCGATCTTTCATACAACATTCTTGCAACGATATTCACATTATCAAGATTTCCGATTGTAATTAATACACTGTTAAACTATTGCATTGTGATAGTGGAATAACTTAGGTATAAGCTATCCTCAAAACGGTGCAGTTATCTTACTTTAAAAGAACTGTGCAGCTTACAGATCGAAATTTTGCGTGTGGCGCGACCCACAAAGTCTGTGTCGCTTACTGACAAATCTATGGATGTACCAACTTAGAATGTAAGTATTTATTTGGCCTTGCTCGCAATTTTTTGCAATAAATCACGAGTTGGCTGTAAAACTTTCCCCTAGCTCAAGGTAACGCGCTACTTTAAAATTGCTACTGTACGCTTCTCAAAAATTCATTAATCATTTCCAAGCTATCCATCTCTTCTTTTAACCTAGTGATTTGTGTATGTCTGAATAGTTATTGTCCAATAAGTTATGACCAATAAGTATGACACAAATGTTAATAATAAAAAAATGTGAAATTTGCGACAGGGGACATACTACTAATGCGTTTGTGTACAACGCGGAAAAATACGTGAAGGACATCACGTGGCATGATTTTTCTCAAATTCTTACTTGCAGTAAGGTATGCTAAAATTTTCGAAAGTCTATCTTACTCCTTATTATACACGAATTAAAATCATATTTTTTAAACCATTTTAATAATTTTGTAAAATTTATTTCACAATTTTACATAAAGAATCTATATGCCTAATTATGTCTCTTGCTCTCATTATTAATTATCGAATATAATATAATAATATTATTATAACTTTATTGAATGCAATGTCCGAAAAAAAGAAGAGCGAGTAGATAAAGCGATTACAAACAAAATATGAGATTGCAGCTAAAATGTTACAAGAGTAAAAATAAATTATATTATATTTATATATTATGACATAATAAATATAAAGTAATGTGTTCTTCCTGTCTAATAAGCAATATAAAAGAAACACGATTTCGTTTCAATGCAGCGCTTTAGTGCATCTTTTGTAGGGATTCGAGTGTTATCTGTTATTACTGCTGCACTGCGTCAATACGCGCTCTGACGCGCTATTGAATTGGATTCAAGATATTTCCAACATTATGAAATGTCTCAAGAACATATCCAAGTATGCGAGAGTCATAAAACCACGCTTGTATCTGCTGATGGCATACTTGAATGTTCTTCGGGGCCGCAAATCGAGCACTCGAATCTATTTGTACAAGGCACAGAAATTCGCGACCTTACAAGAAAACCAATTGATGATGGCATGGATCATACAAAATAGAAGGGTAATAAATTTGATGAAGGATAGTTAACTTTTACTAGTTGATACGTAAAATAAAATTAACGAAAGCTTTAATTCTCAATTAATTAACCTTTAATGGCAGTATTGGCGAACAACAATACTTGGCAGTTAAATGCATGTTCTAAATGGCCCAATAAATGTTTTCTTGTAGACGTGGAGGGTGAAGGTTTATAACAATATGGCGCGATACTGGCTGGAGCACGTTGGGTCGGCAGATATCGTTGCTTGGCAGTATATTCGTAACTTTAACATCGATACCTGGTCCACCATCCTTTATCCCTTACCGACGCCTGATGCGCATTTATAATAAAGGATATAAAAGCGCAATTTCTCTTATGTAGTATATTATTATTGCATTACGTTAATCTATCGCAATCCACGATTATATCTGCACGGATGCTGATTAAAGACGAAAAAGGAGATATTCTAGCGAAATATTTATTTATTAAAGGCATATTACATTTTTACGTTCTAGAAGATAAACACGACGATCCCTTCGTGCGGACGACTTCGTCGAGGTGAAATTTTCTCAGGTTTTTCTTTTCCCTATTTTCCACAAAGTGACCACCGCGCATGATGAATCTCGATCACGACCGTCGCGAGTTTCGCTTAAATATGAATGTTTCCGGCGAACGACGTTTACACTTACATCTCGACGATTAATTATTACGTATTGCGATTTAATTAATTGCTCTATTTGGCCGAATTTGGCCGAGTACGCCAAGGATGTTTGCGAATTCGAGAAAGAAGGACGTAGAAAAGGAAAGAAGGAAGGACAGGGGAAGTCGGAGTTGTGAAAGAGAAAAATGAGGCGGTAACACCAGAAAAAACAGAAAGGGAAGTCCTCTCAAGAGACCGATCCTTTGACCGATCTCCCACTCGCTGGATTTTAAAGGGACAAAGGAAAGAACAGAACACTTTAGGTATTCTCCGCGTGATCTTGTACACACGATATCTCTCTTTCTCTCGTCGCGATGATATCTTTAACTCAATTTAATCTAATCCGGTATCTCACATATCACTCTCCGATCTAATCGCGTCTTTTAGACATTTTTTTATGTCAATATCAATTTACCGTCTCACTTAATCGCTGATAGAAAAAATTTTGACCGGCAAAATAGTTCAAGTGCGGATTTACGTAATAAATATATTTTTTTTTTCTGTCGGAACGAATCCTACGAGACTTCCGTTCAGTTACGAATTTGCCAGTTGACGCATAACATCTCGATTCGTTTTAGAGATCCGGCACAGCTGCGGGCGCGATTCTGATCCGACGCGGCGTGAAACGAGAACTTTGCGAGATCCTGCTCATCGTAAAACTTACATCGGCGTACTCGGCCCGAATGTGTCCGTTCGGACACGCCGCGTGTAATACTTGAAGTTACCTATCAGAAGGGTGTCTCCCCTCGCGCGCTACCACAATGCTTCCCAAACAATGCGAAGGTCTAAAAGATGCCTACGTCTAAATGCACGTTTAAAATGCGTCGAAAGCGCGTCCGAAAGATTCGGATGTCCCTCGGACGTCTCAGAGATCGGGAGCCCCTCTCAGACGTCCAAGAGACTCCCACGTCTAGGAGATTAAGACCTCGTTTAAGGATGTCGATCGCGTCTTTTAGATATTCGCGTTGTCTGGGTCCGCTGCTCGTCCGACGGGACTCTCCCCGATCGCAACGAAGTTTGAAGCTTCCCTCCGCATAACTCATTCGTGGGCGTCGATTTCGTTGTCGATGCGACTGCTGCGTATGCCGGTCTTGCCTGTCCAAGGATAAATGTCCGGGCATGCTTGGCAGGTCTTCATGTACCTCACCCCACTCTTATGCCAAAGATTGCAGACCTTAGCGTTGTTGCACTTCTTGGGTCGGTCCTGCATCACATTCGCCATAACGTAATGAGCTCTTAGACCGCGCAAAATTGCACGTATCAAACGAAGGGTCGGCGTTATTGTCGTTAAAAACAGATTTCAGAATTGTTATTAATCGCAGGACGGCAACTTTGAGCTTGAACAATTTTGAACCATTATGCAATGTCAGGTACTTAATACATTTTAGTTGCAGTCACCGAGATGAGACATTCGAAAAATTTTAATTTTCTTTTTATGGAAGAGAATATCTTGAATTTTTCGAATAAATGGTTTGAAAGAAACCTCGACGGGCTAAGGTGACTGATTGCGAATCTCACCGGATAGTGGCAGCCAAAGGGTTCGAACGTGTGCAGAAGCGCCAGAGGCGTTGGATTCCTAATCCATTGCAAGGCCTGCCAATTAGTAATCACCCATACGTCGTCCATCGCGACGATGGTGTCGAGAAACGATATAAAGCCTTCTTTATGATGCGGCTGAGTAAACCATGCAGCATGATAGAACAGACCGAAAGGCGCCCTGCGGAAACGAGTCGAACATATTAGCACGAATAATTTGCAAATTAACAAAATTGACTAGTTCTCGGCGTAAAAAAAAGTTCTTTTCTTATTCCTATAATTATTTCTCGCAATGTGATTTACACTTTCTGAAGAGGGATTAGAAATTTGCGCGATGTAAAAGGGCTGAGAATTATACGGACGTTGGACAGAGAAATTGATTACCCGAGTTTTCTCAATTGTCTGATACAACTGTATGCGCGAATCGCTTTACTGACCTATTAGTCGTGTAATGCCTCTCGAAGTTCTTAATGAGCATCTTGTATACGCCGTCCGGAGTCGGTGGGTTACTGCAGGCATCTCCCATGGAGCACCTACCTCCATTGAGATCTTGCCACATTACCATAGGAACTTCCCACAATCCTGGATAGGATCTCGTGGGACAGGGCGGTATCATGCAGTCGTGGAAGAGCTTGTAATCCAGCGTGTACGGCCAACTGGGCGGTCGGTTCTCATAGATGGGCATGGAGGAGTCGTACGTGAAGTTTGTATCCCAGAGCATTTTGAACATATTGTTCCCTCCGACCTGCGCCACAGGTGTAGCGTAAAGCAGCGTAAATTACACGGCCGTAAATTGCTCTCTTGAACGGTGACGAAATCATACGCGAATCTTACAGAGAGGCTTTTGTCGAGGGGAATCGCGGTTCTAGGACTGTTATTTCTTACGTAATGCGTTACGGAAAATAGGGGGCGACAAAAAGTTTAGCAAAGGGTTTAATTACCGATAAGAATGGCGCCCTCATTCCTCTGACGTCCTCCAGCTTGACACCTCCGTACGCAGCCAGAATTTCGCGCTGCCCAGCAACCTCTCGCGCCCACTTTCGCGCCGAAAACTGTTCGCCGAAACTGTGCCTGTTGCGGGGATTTATCGTGGTGTCGATCACTCGGGTTACGAGGAGTCAACTCTCTCACGGCGCACACCGATCCTAACGCGGCTGACGACACGTCGGAAACGCTTTTCTTTCCTTTCATTTTTTTTTCTTTCATTTTTGATTACATAAGCACGTCTCTCGTTCGGACGTTCGGCTTTTGCAAAACGGCGATATCGACAACTGACAAAGGACGAGGATGATTTCGCAAGAACCGAACGAGCGCGGTTGTTATGTCATTATGTTACGTGAATTACACGTGCCTCTTATACTTACGTATCTCTTAATAAACTTTATGTGAAAGCAAAACTGATAACGAAATTAAATTCAAGAATTTCCGAACGCGCGTCGAGCGCGCCGCCTCAATTACCCAACGTTCAAAGCGGAAGCGACATGTCGATTGGGCCAGTAAGCGTGTGTGAGGATGACTTATTAACTTCCTCGTTAGAGAAACGAGCTAGCGTTAGCTTCGACACCAAACGTGTAAAAAGAGCGACAACTACTTGGCGCTCTTAATGATCCACAATTAATTTGCACTTATCCATGTAGTTATTAGTGCGTTAATGAAATGATTTGTCGAACAAGCCGTGATTGCTCCAAGTCGAGCTGCGTTTGATTACGGGCGAGAAAAATTCGAGAATCTCAGTGATTAACTACCGCGCCGTTTCTTACAATTATTGTTATTACCGTTAGATGGATAATTCGAAATGATTGATATTTAATTGTCTAATTAACGCACAATCGAATCAAGACCGCGTCCGGTTTCTGGCTGCTCAAGTGATCCAGTTACGTGGGAACATAATTACAGCGACGTAGACATCAGCCGCGAGAGATTTCAGAGGAAATCTCCCGGCCGCGCGCGGCAGAGAAACAAATCGTCAGGCAGTATCAACGACCGCGAAATTGCGTAATTCGTCGCGCGCGTGGCTCGTTCAATTAAATTGAAAATAAAAACGCGTGTGCCACTTCTCCTGCCCGGCGGCAGATCGGTGCGGCGCCTTAATGACGATTCGATTACTTACGAGACCGTGTGGGAGGCAATCTCGTGGCCCGAGGCATAGAGATTTTGAACCTGGCTGTAGTCGGTCCACTCGTGGGACACGTAGAAGGTGGCCGAGATGGGACAGCCGTTGGGGTTCTTTCGTCCCTTCTCGAACAGGTCGGCAGAGAGACCCTTGTTCAAGTCGTTCACGGAATCGTCGAAGGTCAGAAGGACGATTTGCGGTATTTCCTCCGGTAAGTAGTCACCTGTTTCGTTTCAGGATCGCGTACGGGATTCGGGATGCGAACGGCGGAGCGGGAGGGGGGACGCGAAAGAAATCGGGCCGCGCGTTCGAGATGGTGTTGAAATGTGTGTCGTAGGCGTTGTTTTTTTTTCCAGCAGACGTGAGTATCGATGTGATAGAGTTTTTTGAGTGTTTTTTTTTTATGATGTACATGTGAGGATGTGTCGGTTAGAGTGGCGCGTGATGGGAATGAGGAGGCAAGGCGTGAAAAGAGAGAGAGAGAGAGAGAGCGAGAGAGAAAGAACAGAAGAGAAGGAGTTAGTACACGCGACACATCATCATTAGTATACACGACACAGGTGTGTCGCCCGGTGAAACCGCGGTTTTACGGCGTGTTACTTATCGGACCCGGCGATCCCTCGTTCGAGAGATCCGCCGATCTCCTATTTGATGAGGGTACACTTGCGGTTTCACCGGTTGTACGCGGCAATATGCGTTTTCATCGTCCCCCACGGAGGATCCTCTAATTGCGCGATGCCACTTTCGAAGATGAACGGATCGAGGCGTTCTTAAAATAGCAGGCGGGAGTTCGCGAGCGATTCACGAGCCGATCTGTGCGAGCTACTTCTAGGGTCTCGAAGACGCACGAGGATTCGTTGAATCGTGTTACCTGAAGATCGGAAAATCTCTCTCCTTTCCCTGTAACGGTAATTTAAATCTCGTTTCCAGAATCTGAAAATTCGAGGAGGTCCGGGAGAGATTTCTCAAGTATCTGCAATAACCGAGAGATTCGGAGATTCGAGAATTAATTAACGAAAGAAAAGTGTCACTCGTAAAAATTGAAACGGTGAGCTTACGGCCAACTCAATAAATTTTATTGAATTCGTTACAACGTTTCGACCTTACTTCAGGTCCTTCTCAAGTAATAATACAAATAATAAATAATAAAACTAACAATAAACAATAAAAAAAATAAGCGCACATCCGAACATTACTGAGGTTCGATTTGAACTGTAATTTTTATCTTTTGACTCTATCTCACGGACGACGATGACTCGCTTGTCTACGAATTTCTCTTGTTTCCTTATCTGTATTGTTACTTGAAAAGGACCTGAAGTAAGGTCGAAACGTTGTGACGAAAAAACAGCTCACTGTTTTAAGAATTAATTAGTTCTCCCGTGTAGTCTCGGCGGAGCACAATTAGCAATCCAATTGCACCGAATTAGAGGATCCTTCGCGGGGCAAAGTCCTTTCAATGACCGCTCGAAGCGTTCTCCAGCGAGACGGTCGAGTGGACGGGCGACGAGTAGAAATCAGTAACGTTAAGCCTATAAAACAACAGGAAAGCACAGACAATAGGAATAGGCGGTAGGAACAGAATTTCCGACGCGTTGGATTTCTGTTCCCTAGTCCCTGTACCCCCTGACCAATCACAGACTCTGGGACAGGCACGTGGTTTCAAAAAGCAGATGATTGAACGGCACTCCTTATTGCCAATGAATTTTTTCTGTTGCCTGCGTTATTCCTACTCCTTTTGTCCGCGCGTTCCTATTGTGCGATGGGCTTTAATCGTACACACGTGGCCAGCGGAGAAACAGACGAGATGATGACGTTCGGTGCGAGCTTCGCTCCTGTGGTTAAAGATAGCGCGATGGTGTGCGACAATTCCCCCGGAATGATAATGAAACTGCGCTTGCTCTCGTGATACGAAATGTGCTTTTTTTTTCTATCGACTTACGAGACCGTGTGAGACGCCATTTCGTGGCCGTCTGCATAGAGATTTTGCACCTGGCTATAGTCTGTCCATTCGTGCGAGACGTAAAAAGTCGCCGCGATCGGGCAGCCGTTCGGATTCTTACGGCCGTTTTCGAACAGCTCGCTGTACGAGGGTCTGTTAAGGTCGTTCACGGCGTCGTCGAAAGTGAGCAGAACGATCTGCGGCGTCTGCTCGACCGGAATACCACCTGTGCGTCACAGTTGCATTATGTAGCTCGCGATGCGATCGCCGAAGCTGCGTCATTCCTCAGCGGCATCGAGAAATTACGTTTCTGTAACGCTACGCGCAATCGCGTCTTCTCCAAACGCGAGACTGTCGATTTTTACGCATTAACGAGTTGCAGATCGGAACAATCGTTTAACGGAGCCAGCAGGCATTCGCGCGATCCTATTACGCTTAATCTACAACGTGCCCTTTGCGTCTAGATACATTCGATTTTGTGTAAGCAAATCAAAACGCGTTTAAAAAATTCGTCGACAACATACGATTGTACAACGTACAATGTATAACTTGTCGAGTTGCACACATTTTTTAAACGTATTTGTCGGCTACGAAGTAGAATGTTTCTAGACGCAAAGGGCACGTTGTAGTTTAAGGCTTTAGTGCCCTTTCTTTGTCATTGATTTCGAATGCACTATTTTATATAAAATTAACAATGCTGGCGAGTCGAGATTACACAGTACCGGCCAAAATTTTATCGCCTTTTCCTTTTTTTGAGCACGAGTTTTTAAGTGCACGAATGAAAAATTCGAAAATCACAGAGTAGAGTAAGGTGACCAAATTTGGGTCAGATACCAGGTGTGGATCAACAATTAGACAAGTTGCTAATAAGCGACATAAAAACACGTCGATGCCTTTGATAATATCGACAATATAGCGTCAAGTTGTAAATATATAAAAGAGCAAAAATTAAGCGAATTACTTTAAGATGTCGCTTATTAGCGACTCATCAAATTTTTCATCTTGCCACCTTACTCTATTTTGTTAAATTTCATTACCCTTCATGTACAAGCTGCACTTGCTATCAGGTGTCTACTGTAAAATTTCGAGCACAATCGATACACTTTGACGAAAGTTATACTCAGAAAACCTAAAGGTGATATACTTTTGGCCGGTACTGTATACATGACAAAGACAACATTGTTTCGCGTGAAAGTCAAATCAGCTAACAGTCTTCTTCCGACAATAATGCGTTCGCCAGAACTTTACGAGTCAGTGTTCTCCAAGTGTTCTTCAGAAAATTACGAAGAAACCAGAATCAAAAGTTCCAGCAGCGGGATCGTAACGCGCAATTCCTTTAGGCTCGGTTGCACCAACGTCGCTTAACTTTATTAACTTTAACTCAATTCACTCTTTGTCTAAGTTTTTCGTCTAAGCTGTCCCTTTCTCTGTTCCAAACAGAAAGAGACGAAGAGTGAATTAAGCTACTGGTATAATTACGTGACGTTGGTGCAACCGGGCCTTAGTCTCGAGTCGCTAAGCAACAAACGTTCTCCAGAATTTATTTCGCCGGGCGAAAGTGAGGCGACATTCAACGATCCCGCGCAACAACGATATCGATATTTTGTGCGGCCGCGTTTTGCGCCGGTAAATAAAACCGATCGGGCGCACTGCGCATCGATTGACCGTACGCCTTCCGGTAATGCAAATTGCTTTCAATTTCGAAGGGCGACGCGCGCCGCGAGCGTATCGGGCGTAGATCTGTTTCACTTTCGAGCGTGCTATGTAACGGCCGGTGTGTATGTAACGTTAGAGAATCGGAGAAAGTCACGGCGCGGCGCGAGGCCGTCTAAACCGTTCGTCAAACTTAACATTCGCGGCGCGCGACCGCCTTGCGTAACCCCGCGGATTTTTCGCCTCGACACTCCGCCCCGATCGCGCCGATCGAATCGCGCCGGCGCGATCGTCCCCACCCGCGCTCGCCGATCGATCGCGAGCGGAATTCGGCGCGACCTTCAAACGAGATCTGCTTTCCAAGACGATCCCGCTTCCTCATTTACAATTCAGTCGGCGAACGCCCGGACTTCCGGCACGCGGAACGCAAACTTTTTCCGTCTCGTGTCTCTCCAGCTCGTGGAACGTCATTTCCGGTCTACTCGAGTAATCGGCACGATCGAACTCTCGTCTCGTTTCGAAAACGAGAATTTAAGGTATTCGTCGGGGGGTGGTGGCAAAATTTCACAGTTACCAGTTTACTTTAGCCGCGACTTTAAACCACGTAATTTTGGGTTTTAAACGTAACGATATCTCGAATAATGCTGTTCTACAAGATTTACGTACCTAAATGAAATACAAGGTTAGGAAGTAACGCGTTACTTGTAACTTCGTTACCATTACGATTACTTTTTTTTTGGGGGGTAAAGACGTTACATTTTCTCATTTGTAATGTTTACGGTAACGTAGTTACATTTTGTCGGTAACGGCAACGATTTTAGTAGTTACTTTTATCGTTACTCTGTCGCACGTGAACTTTTCGCCAGTTGCATTCGGAAAACAAAGCAGTTCAGTGATCTTTAATATTATTGCCCAGTGAGAAATGATTCGTCAATCGACGTCGAAACGACGTCGAATCGACATCGACACCGTCGAATTGACGTCGATTCGACTTCATTTCGACGTCGATCGACGAATCATTTCTCACTAGGTGGTTCTTCGTCTTGCCCGCAGTTCTTCGTTGACTACAAAGTGTAGAAACCAAATTATATGTATTCAATATACAGGGTGTACCAAACCCACCGGATATCCTTTTGATCACAGATTCTTTAGAAAATTTCAGGACGAAAATTCTAAGTATACTAGAGGATCCTCTAGTAAGTATCTAAGTATCCTAGAGGATACAATTTTCCTCATGCCTTCTGTTCATGTTTACTGCAGAAACTTGTATGTAATTGTACTAAGGCCAAGACAAAAGTAACGAAAAGAGTAACGACTTGTTAGTTTTTGAGTAACGGTAACAAGTTACTTTTACAAAGTACTTTCCAACCCTGATGAAATATGTCATCTCCGAAGGAGATTCACACGCTGAAAACGAGTCTAGCTGGTCGTAAAAACGGCATAGAAATATTTCTTTGAGCTCGTAAAGTAATACATGCTTTCTTTTTGTAGTTTTTTCATCGCCGAACTCGAAGTATTACGGTTTTCGTCAAGACCTTTTTTTTTCTTTGAAAAGGATTAATCGGCCATTTTTACGCGCAATTTTTACGGCCAGACATGTTTTCAGCATGTAACAATCGTAAATATTGTAATTTATTTCACTTAGGTCCTTAAAAAATCTCTTTTCTTTGTGGAACCGTGTTATCAATCAAGATTGTAGGTTTCCAGTCGAAGGTTTTCAGCACGTGGTTTTTGCGGGGCAAGGCTTATTATCACCGTGTCGCTAAATTACCTGGTATATCGGAGCCACCGCAGCTGCAATCCGGAAGCAAACAGACATCCCTGCGACACTTGGCCGCCGGCTTGTCTACCTGAGGCGTCGGGTAGATCGGTGCCGGCCTCACCGGAGGATACCTGTAGATGTCAATGAACTCCTGCGCCTTCGAAACTATCTCGGTGGACGGCTTCAAGGTGGGCCGGGACCGCCTGGAAGCGATTAATTGGTGTCGTTGAGGATTAACCGGCGTCGAAATGAAATCGCCGGATAACGCGCTGTTCCGCGTTTGAGAAACCGATTGAAAGCGAGTAACGCAGCTGCGTATCATCGTGAAACGCTCGCCGGATTTACGAGCGGCATGGAGTTTACACGTCAGCTAAATCATTGCCCCGTTGCGAAAGAAAGTGAATTGACAATGAACTTACGGCGGTGCGGTGCCCCGATGGATCTGCTGCGGCCGACCTCCTCGGCTGGAAAAAGAAAGAGAGGAGGAAAATTGGAGCGTAAGATAAGATCCGAGGATTTCCGGTGGCGCGGCGGCGCGAATAAGGAAAACGCTAGTTTAGTCCGCGTCGCGGAGAAAGCGAGGGACTTCGTTTTGCCGAGAGCCCGGCGAAATCGGGTCTCGGCCGACGGAAATCGGCACAGGGACGTCCTTTTCGTGCCTCGCGCCATGCGCAAGCCCGGTACGACGTTGTTACAGAGTCGTCCGTTGTGTAAAAATGCTCCGTCGTTTCTGCCCGACAAAGGTATTTAAAATCTCCGACATAACTGACGTCCTCGCACTCGCGCGGTGCAACCCGAAAAGTTATTCGGGACACAATGAAGAGTTGGCGAGGCTGCGCCCTCGTGCACGCGATAAATTCGCTTCGAATAGAAATAAATCATCTTTTACGATTCCACGTCGTGGGCCCGAGATAAATTTACGAGCCGCCCGATAATATTCACCCGCTCTTCCACGTCGCAGATGCGGTAATAAATTTCAACGTGTGTTTTACGCGATTTGAAGCCGCGCTTATCGCGGAGAAAAAGGCAATTAAGTCCGAGCGTTATACCTCGGTGCGTTGACGGTGTAAGGTCTGCTGGTCGTGCTGGGAGTCTGCGTGCTCGTGGTCAGTGGAACGAAGGTGTCCACGATGACATTCGGCGTCGTCACGTGGACCACGGGATGGCTGAGCACGTTCGTCCTGCATGGGCAAGTGAATTAGCGGAGTCGCGTAATCGTGGGTCTCCACCTAGCTTCGACGTTCAGATCCGTTCCGACACATCCGGATGGAAACCGGCGGGACGGGTTTTAAATCGACCTGGTGCTTTCGCACGCGACGACTATTTTTAAACGGTGATTAGACGCGACAGCCTCGCGCGCTCGCGTCAACATCGGCACCTTTAGATGACAAATCGCGCGCGCGAGAGGCGCATCCATTAGCGAGGACGCGGGAGAGAAATAATTTCTTAAAATAACAGCGAGTTTGAGAGACAGGATAATGCACGCATTATCCTTTGTACATTGTTAACGCGCATATTGTTGTGCCACAAAAGAATTCAATTCGTTCGGGGTTAATTTCAGTCGCGGGGAGAAGAGAGAGACGTAGCAATTTTCCAATGATAGAATTCAACGATAATTAACCGCGTTTAAATGCAATTCCAACAATCATTACGTAAACACCAATTATAGGATAAAATTGCATTCGGATCCTTCCAGTCGCGATATTATTATTAATTAAGGAAGAGGCAATTTTCTTACCTAAACTGCTGACCGTCGGAAATGCGGAACTTGTTCTTGTTCAGCTGAGCCTGAAACGTGAAAAAAGAAATTATTTTTAAATGCAAGCGAAACGTCCTTTCTGACAGAGACGAAGTAATTTTGCGTATTCATACCTGATTCTCGTAGATATCGTAATCGTCGTGATTCAGATATTTGTCCGCCTCGTTCACGCCGACCTTCTTCGGCTTCTGATACTGTTTCGTGTTCACCTCGCTAATTTTCACGTTCGGTTGTTGCACCGGCACAGACTGATTGATGGTGTATTGATTGTAATCTACGCATAATGATACGGGGTTATTGCAGATCACGCCATTAACGTGTTTGCAAAGAATTAAGATTCCCTGTTTATTATCGCTATCTTCCAACAACGTTAGCTCTATCCGATTCTATCGTATTTAATAATCATCAATGAAAATTGATTGAAAAAAACGAACTTGAAATTAATGAAATGCAAATTAAACCGTAGCGAAAGAGTGCGTTTAAAGTTTCTAATTTCTCAATTTTTGCGTTTCACCTAACGCACACAGATCTTGAAAGGCAAATAACAAATAATGATGAAAACGATGCAATACAAAGGTACGTAGCGATTGTTCGGCGTTTTTAAAAGTACTTGAGAAAGTAGCCTACCGTCGTCTTTATAAATGGAAACGTCGTCGTCGTAAATCGTGTAATACGGATAACTCTGATCTGGATCGCTGTAGTAAGCCTTAGACAAGACCGGTGCCACGGTCGAGGCCAGTGTTTTGGCGAGCCTCGGCGACTCGGTGGTTGGAACGGACGTTCTAAAGTGTGAAAAGTAATTAGCTTGATCGCCCCAAAGGGGTAACGCAACAGAGCTCTGCTTTCAATCGCGGTGCTTTCGCGATGAAATGTGCAGCGTATCAGAATATCATTTTATTACGTAAAATTTCAATCAAGAGCGAGATACGCATCGGAGAGATGGCCGTGCGATTGCTGCGTTAACGCGGGATATTAGAGTTTCGCAGAGAGAGAAATCACGGCCAAATTGAGGAATCTTACTTAATCGCGACGAAAACACTTTTCTTTTCTCAAGAGTGATTTGTAACTGCGCTACCAACCTGTAATGAGATTCGGCTTGGGCACGTGCGCTTACCAGGCTGTCCTTCTCCCTCTCCTAGAACACACGCGACATTACAAACTCAATGGCCGGCGGTATCCTTGAATTGCCGTATTCATTGCTAATTGATCAAATTCACATTCAACATTAAACGGACGCGTCCGTCGCCTATTCAATGCAACTTTCTATTTGCGTTTCTCTCTAAAAAAGTATCGTCAACGCTGTAATCATCTATGCGATTGAACCGCGAACTGCAGCACTGAATGCAGCATTATGACATGTTCGTTATTAGTAAAACTGTTCAGTTACTTGCTTGTAATTATTTCAATTTGTATTCCAATCAATTCAAAAATATGTTCTTTCAATAAGGACACAGGTCAACAATGTCGACCTTTTTTTATGTCACAAAAGAAATGACGGTTTATTTCGATAGGACTTTTCCCGTAGATTACGAATCTGAAACCCAAAATGTTGCATCACGTCACGTTTTTGAGAACAATGCGGTCAAGTAGTTAAAAAAATCCCGTTATTGGTACTTTTTGAACCTCTGTCACAAAGGAACGGGACGTGACAGAATACTCTATGTGAGCTCAAATTAAAGCTTGACTCGTTATGAGGCAAAAACCACATGACAATACAGCGAAGTCGTGTGGTGCACGTTTTTAATAGGGCGACTGCAGCCTGAACTTATATAAACCTATCGAAAAAACCTGCGCCACACATCTTCGCTGTATTGTCACGCTATATTGTCACGCTGTATTGTCACGTGGTTTTTTATTTCATAACATTCAAATTTACGGTTTAAGCCATAGGCATAATATATCTAGACCGAGCATTTGCCTTTATCTGAGCAGTAGGGGTAGAGGTTCACGTAGAAAAGAACAAACTCTGTTTTATGCTATTTCGTTCTCTTTCGTTCTATATTCATGTATACAAGAGAGAACGAAATAGCACAAAACAGAGTTTGTCCTTTTCTTTCGTTCTACATTCACATATACAAGAGAGAACGAAATAGTACAAAACAGAGTTTGTCCTTTTCTACGTGAACGTCTACCCCCACTGCTCAATGCTCGGTCTAGATATATTATTAATTATATCTATCGTTTAAGCTTTACTTTGAACCCACACATAGAGTATCCTATCGCGTTCCTTTGTGACAAAGGTGTGGAAAACGGGGGGGTTTTTTTTTAACTATTTGGCCTCATTTTTTTCAAAAACGTGACGCGATGGAACATTTTGTATTTCAGATGCGTAATCTACGGGAAAAATTCTATTGAAATGACCTGTCGACGGTACCGCGACTCACCGATATTATATTCCGTCGCAGACCGTCACGATCGCGCTGCACCTGGCCGATCGTCGAGGGTTGTCCCCGGTAAACCCGTTGCTGCCGATCGTTCTCGATCTCCGAGGCGGGCCCGTACTCGTCCTCGTGGTAATTCGTCCTCGAGTGCTGTCGCTGCCTCAGCCTCTCGGTGATCTGCGAGACCGGCGGCGACGCAGTTGTAACCGTGATCGGCTGCCTCTGGATCGGTCGCTGTTGCTGCTGCTGCTGCTGCTGGTCTCGCAATTGCTGCTGTTGCCGTTGCTGCTGCTGATCCTGCAGCGTCTCGAGTTTCGCGGATCTGCGATCGTGACGATTTTTCGATTTTAACAGCAATCGCCGATTCGGTCGCGAGGATTAAGTTATTATTCTGGGTTTTTTTTTCTTGTAGAAAGCAAAGCTGTGCGCTCACGAGATTTCTTCCTTACTGAGAATGTTGGACGATATTAATTCAACACGCGGAGAGACTCGCGCGTAATGCTAATGCTGGCAATCGCATACAAATATGTGGTAAGCGAGCGGACCTACATTTCCGTACAAGAGTCGCATAGAAATAACGCAGGAGAATATAATAAATATACCCGGCCGAGGAGGAAACGATGAGAATTTCAAGTATCCGCTTTCGTTTCTGCGCCGTTTGAAAACTACACCCTCAGAAAGGATTTCTGTTACCGCGACAAAATAGTAGAAGATCAGTCTAGTCCGCTCTGTCAATAAGTAAGAGGTGAGGCGGGCATTACATAACACCCTGTATAATAAATACGATTGGCGCTATATCGAACTTATTTTATGATACATCGAAGTGTAATAGCATTGGATCCGGAAATCTTTTCTGCGGGTGTAACAGTCCAACCGCTAAAAATTCTCGCGGAGAATTTCACATTGGCGATTATATGCAACTGTCTTCCCGAGGAATTTCTTTTAACGGCAAGGACACCCGGAATTTGAGACGAGGCAGACCGTTGAGAAACTCTTTCCCGATTGCTCGTGCACAATACAATTAATGAGTATCCAGCCTGCGCGTTGGCCAACTTTGGTTTTATGTAACGAGAGACCCGGCTTGTCGTTCTTGCTCAAAACGATCCAATCTCGCATACAAATACGTACACGGATTTATTTACGCATGTAACAAACCAGACAAATTAATTAATTCTAACACGTACAGCTCGGCTTGCTCGGCCCGTTTTACTTTCCTCGCGCTTTCGTCCGTGCGCATAAAAATATTCGCTGTCTTATGTACCTACTCGCGTCTTATGTGTCAAGTTTTGTACACGTTTCAATAGCAACGTTGAACAACAGTAACGAAAGAGCAATGACTCTGCGGTGCTATTTTCTGAAATACAACACGGTCGCTCAAACGGACTCGCGGCGTTTATTTTTATCGTGAGGCAACAATTAAATTTTAAATTAGAGTAATTTATGTTGGAGAGTAATAATAATAAGAAACGAAAGCGAGTCCGTGAGGGTTTACAGGCGGAACGAAGTGGCCTCTAACAACGAGCCTGTCGCTCGAACGTACGTTAGTTTTTTTTTATCGACGCGTAATGCCGCCGATATTTCTCCTCCGCCACGTCGAGTCGAGAGTGCGCGCTCGAGGATCGCGAGGATGCTTATTCGACGCGTCCGCGGCCGAGAAAACGCGATCGCGAGGTTGTTCTATCGAAACTAATGGCTCTTCCCCGCGGGTCTCCCCCCGCGCTCGCCTTCCAATCCAGTCGCCTTAATCGGCCGCTGTTTCTCTTTCTTTTCACTCTCACTCTCGCCTTTTTCTCCCATCGGCTGTCGCGAGCGTGGGTGAAGCTCGTGAACGCGCGTGTGTGCCCGCGCGAGCAGACGCACACCATTGTTTTGCAATCGCGTCGAAAACTAAATCTCACGCGTGGAATGCAACGCGCCACTACTCGTATCGTTTTTGTAACGAAGTGCACTTTGCAAAAAAAAAAGGAGCACTTTGTGTACGCAACGTTTCCATGTACTTGTTGCGACATGGTGTGTGCGTACAACGAAGAAAGAAAATAAAATAATTGCCGGTTCTAAAGAGACAGTCTTATATAATAAGTAAAATGCATTTCCAAAAAATATTAACGTTACATTTACCCTCTAACCGCAAGGTTTGGGGTCGGATGCCACTTTTGAGTCTCGCTGCAATTTATTTTTTCTGTAAACAAGTTTCCTTCTATCGCGCTTTCTTTATTACGTTAACCAAAAAAAGAGACACAAAAAGAGATGGTTCGAACTCGAGCCCACCTTGTCAAATAAAGCCAACGGCACTCGATGCCATTTTTCTACAGGATTTGCCAGAGCCAATCAGGATGTAGCTTGCGAGAGCCAATCAGGATGTAGCCTTGAATTGCCTGATCTAAAACTCTGAGTCCTTATTGGCTCTTGCGAGAAATCCAGTAAAAAAAAAATGGTATCGTGTCCCGTTAGCCTTTAAACTCTAAAAATGCAGCTCACTACACTGAGACAAATTTGCATCGGATAAACCTATTAAATAGTGTTTTCGATGGTTAATTTTTCCGATTACGTTTCCCGATTAAGTTATGGATACATCCGATGAAATTTGATTGAAAAACCGATCATATTTTTCATCCAATATACAATTTAATTGGATATTATATATCCGTTTGTTATTATGTAATTGGATTGTCCGATTATATTTAATCGGACATTTTCCTCAGTGCGCACTGAAAAAAAAATTTGGTTGCATTAATTAGAAGTCCGGTAGATTCAACCTGTCCTGTCGTCTGCGAGAAAATGGACGAATCATAAGTCCTTTAGGATTTACTAGATGTGTAGTGAAGTCAAACTTCTGGTTATGAAATATCGAGTTCTATCGTGATAACTAGAAACTCTGTTTGATTCAACCAAAATACGTTCTATCATGCGTGTCTTGTTGATACAATCAGAGCATTTTTCTCAGTGCAGTAATTGAACTATCAGAAATTACTGATGCACAGTAATTTTCTAATAATGATTTCGTTGCTCTTCCATAAGGGTACGCTTGGAGATGACTCCGCGGAAATTCAAGGGTGTTTCCGTCGGATGAGATATAAAAACGCTTGTAATCGCTCACCTCTCCAGCAGGGGGTCCTCCTCGGCCTCCTTGTTGGACGAATCTCCTTCCGGGCAGCCTACGTTTCGCGGCCAGTCGCACGTCTGCAAGTCGTGGCTGGGGAAAGAAGGCAAGCGATTTTTCAGTGTGGGATCGTTAACGTTCATTAGGCACCTACTTACGAGAGCCTCGCCGGCGAGCACGCGAGTTCTAGCTCGCGCCCGTCGTGTCATTAAAGTTGCATTTGCGCGACGCGAGACGTATCACTTCCCATTTCGCTTATTTTACATTAACGCTCCTTTATACACAACCCGACATTTTTTTCCCTCGGTTATGCGAAAATTATCCTACACAGCTCTCTTCCGCTGGTTACGCGTCACGCTAATTAAGACTCACTTACTCGCCATAAGTAAACGTACATATGACATACATACGGCGTAAAGTGCAAAGCTTTTATTTTCGAATTAACGAGAATGCTCCAGCGGTCGCCTGCGATACAAATGGCATTTGAACAGCGTTATGTCACGTGAAAATTATTATCAAGGTTTATTATTATACGATAACAATATATCGAGGCATCGCCGCGATTAATAATTTCTCGAATCTGAATAAGTGTGGAAACGACCTTACTGGCAATTCTTTATTATAATTAATCGCAACGTTCCGGCCAGCAATACTGGTCCTCTTTCGGTAACGAACTTGCAAAGGTACCCGCAAATCTCTGAAGAACAGAAAAGCAACATATAAACTAAATTAAGATGAGATCTTGCGTAACAGAAAATGAAATTAAGGCGTTTTTTATACAATAAAAACTTACAAGATTCGTCAGGCTAGAGACGTGAAAGTTAGAAGTCAGAAATATCATAGTACAATGTGCCTGGTCGGTCATTAATTTCTCGATCCGATCGTGCGCTACAGGCGCATCTCACCGCACGTGCAACCTCAATCGCAATTAAGTGGTAAAATGCCCAAATTAAGGTGTTTTTTTATATAATAAAAACTTACAAGATTCGTCAGGTCAGAGATGTGAAAGTTATGTTAGAAGTCAGAAACGTCATAGTACAATGTGTCCGGTCGGTCATTAATTTCTCGATCCGATCGTGCGCTACAGGCGCATCTCGCCGCACGTGCAGCCTCAATCGTAATTAAGTGGTAAAATGTCCAAACGACTCGTGCAACTCGCGAACGAGCGTTTCCCGAGAATTCCCGGCCAGACCCGTCTGTCATCGAGAGCCGCGTTTGGCGCGTCGCTCCTGGAACCGCCGTCTCAGTCTCGCCCGTACTTGGGTATCGCGTTACCATAAAGCACCTTGGGCTGTATCAACCGGCTTCAGCACGCTCACGCTCGTATCGGGCGAGGTGTGGCTGGTCGATTTTTTCCCTTTTCCCCAGGGTTACGCGTACGACCCCCTTTTACCGTGCAAATCCAGACGGCGGTTTGAAAGTAATTCATCGCGTTGGTCGAACATCGGCCAAAGCTCTACCATCGGGTCGTTCGTAAGACGCAAGAGCCGATAACAATTAAGATGACATTCTTACGTTCGCGACGCGTCGTATCTAATTCACAAAAGACGCTTCGCTCCATCATTTTAATTATTTTTCGTTTACTATAAGTTTTTTTTAATGGGACACTGACATTCCAAGGAAACAGAGGGACGAAAAAAAATGCTGTCGAGTTAACCCTTTGAGGCATACGTTTTTCTATTGAATCATTTTTTGTGAAACTGTACACGTGGGTTTTTGGGGTCGCTGATTGCGAATCCGTCATCAGATTTGCATAATTCGAAATGGCGGATTCATGATGGCGGAATTGAAAACTTAAAAGAATAACATCATTCAACTGTAATTCAACTGTGCCAAGAAACTTTGTTTAGATATTATTAGGACCCATGAAATCTAAATTCCAGTTGAAAATGCTTATAGAATATAAAAACTAGCGCGCGCGAAATGACGGATGCAGAATTAAAATTTGATAATTTTTTAGAATTTACACATTCTTGGCACTACTCAGAGCTAACGACGCGGAAGTGACGAGTCCCTAAATACCGTAATAAAACGTAAAATGCTGAGAAACTTTAAAATTTAAAAAAAATCACTTACTTTGCATCCGCCATTTTGAATTTTGAAAATATGACATCAGATTCGTAATGAGCGACCCCGAAAACCCCCTCGTACAAAAGTTTTCAAGAAATGCGTAGAAACGGGCGTCGGTGGTCGCGAAAGGGTTAAACTCCATTCTTGGAGGATACACTTTTCGCGGCGCGTCGAATTTTCGAGCTCGCGGCCGCGCGCTCGCGGGAAAGTGCGATTCCGCGATGCGCGGCAACGCGAAATCTCTCACGAATCTCGTAATGCAACGCGCTGGGAGCGCGGGACGGGTCGCGCGCATCCGGCCCCTCGTGCACGACCCGCTCGACAATTGCGCGCGTATACGCCCGATTCGGCGCATCCATTATCGCGCGGCGCGCCGCTCGCCTAATTTCACCTTGCGCGCCGCTAATCCACGACCATATTAGCCGATCGGTCGTCGGGAGTCGCGGAATCGTTTCCACGGTGCGGGTTGGTTTTTTCCGTCACTTTTCTCCTCGGAGAACGCCGCCCCGACCCGCGGCTCCGCGATCGCGAACGCGGTCGTCGACCCCGCGCGCGATTATGCGCCGACAGAAACTCCGGTAACGAGCAGAAGAATTCCTCACGTCGACCATCCTCCATTATCTCGCACGTAATCTTAGAACTCGCGAACGCTTGCACGCGGGATTTTTAATGTCCCGACGCTAACGGCAACGTTTCGAGATATCAAGGGGCAATATTTCTTCTGGATACCTTAGATTTTCCACGAGATTTCCTTTCGCAAACCGGAGCGGAACAAAGGCGGGGCGCCTTCGATCTCTCCAGACGGGGTATCCGAAAGGCGTTCTTTACGGAAGGCCACGCCGGGCCCTTTTCGAATTTATTTGTAGTTTTTCTCCACCTTCCGCTGCTTTTCCCGTATTTGAATTCCTAATCTCGCATACCTGTACATAAGTCCTCCCGTACAAGACTCCAGCAGGGCGCCGCCGAAAACACACACATAATACTGTGTGCAGTCACGCGGGTGAGGATAGTATCCGAACTCCTCGGGGCATTCGAATTCCAGGACTGCCTCATTTCTGCTGGCTCTCGCGCTTCTCGGAGTATTTCGTTGACATCCTGGAACAAATAGAAAAATGCCTTTCACTCAAAGATTCTAAAATGCCCGTAGAACCGGATGTATATAAAAACGGGACGAAGAAGAAACGAGCAAACCCCTGGCTGAAGTGATATTTTTTTGCAGTAACTTTTGAATTATTTAGACATTTCACATCCTGCCTTGGCTCTTGGTCCTTTCTTCCTTCGAATCCGCGATTTCACATTTCAGAGCCTCGTAAATTTATGAATTGGTTAAATGTACATTTGTCACACGAAGCATGTGTTTCGTAAACAAACGTGCTTAAAAAATTGCACAAAGAAATGGAAATAAAAACGTGTTCGGGTCGCCTTAGAATTTTTTTTTTTACTTTTTAGCTAAATCGTTTATAATATCAAGCGAATTTGAACTTTCACAAAGTTCATGTTTTACAGCTCCACTCAGAAAAATGTCCGATTAAACATAACCGGATAATCCAATTGCATAATAACAAACGGACATATCCGATTAAACTGTATAATCAGTTTTCCAATCGAATTTCATCGGTAACTGCATTTTATCGCACTGAGAAAGAAAAACTGTCGAGTCAAGAAAATATTTATTGATTCAACTATACGCTGCAGTCACGGGCTGTCAAACAAATATTTATTAATTCACGTAAACGTTTGTTAATTTGAAAAATATATATATTTGAATAAATTATGTATGTGTAATTAAAAAACATATATACTCCTTTTTAAAAAAGAGATGTTACCATCGCGAATGTCGTTAATATCGAACAGTTGAGACCTCTTTTCCGCGATGCCAACTGGTTTGCTTCACTTCTCTTTTAGACTCATAGCAAATGAAGATTTGCAATTTAGAAATATACATTTGCATACACCAACGATTGAGGTAAAATCTATAATCTTAGTAATTAGAATTTAAGTAACAACGATTTTTGTTTCGGAACATTTTCTCGATTGAACAGAATTAATCGCTAATTTCATCAATACCAATAAGTCCGCCGAATGATACGCAAAACGTAGTGACAGTCACTGAACAAAGTAATTAGAAATATTAGGTATAGAATTTTCAATTTCGTAGGCGGGACAACGAATTCTCAACGTTTTTTTTGTTGTTTTTCACTCGGCGCGGTATCGTACGACGATTAAGCGGGCCAACGAATTCTCAACATTTTTTTGTTGTTTTTCACTCGGCGCGGTGACGTACGATGTTTTTGCGTGCCATCGTGTAACTGAAGGTCGCTGCGTAATCACTCGCTCGCCGAACGTCGAGCCGGCAAGCAGTGACGGGAGTCGCTCCGTGCGTGGTATTACTTTTGCGTTATCGGTTTCCAAGACTCGATTGCGATGAATGCAGGGATAAAACACTATTGATTTGCACACCTTTATCCGTAACAAGTAACGTTCCACAATTAATTATTAAGTTTCTACAACTTGTAATGAGAAACAAATTGCCTGTTGAGACGACGGCTCTTTATCAACGCATACATAAATATTTCACGAGACTAACTCGTCTAAAATATTAATGTAAACCGTGATACTTTGTCGCGGTTACATCTCGTTTACGCATCGCGCTTTTAATTATCTATCGATTTCGTGTAATCTGTTCTATTTTTGGGAAAAGAGAGAAATTTGTACGACTTCGGCGCTCGCGCTGTAATTCGCTCTGTCGTTCTTCGCAACTCGAACGGGCAGGAAGTAAAGAACGTCACCAATTCAAAAGTGATTTATCCATTATTCTATTCTTCCGAATCAAAAATGCAAGTTCTTAGTTTGAGTAATTTGTATGACAGAAAGTCATGATATTTGTTAATAATATTTCGTGCGTTTCGCGGTATTTCACATCGCGTACGGGAGTGCCCGAAATTTCGCGTGATCGATGATTTTCGCGAGTGAGTGATGTGTTGTGAGTGCAACAAGGAAATCTGAGAGGAGGAGCAGGTCTTGGAGGCATCGGGCAACGGCGGAAAAATCGTGAGGTGAGTGTCTTACATTTTTATGTTATTTTCTCCTTGTGCAAAATAAGGCATCTGTTCTGTGTTTTTATTTTATTTATTCAAATGATTCGAATAAGTGTTAGAGGCAAAACCATACGTATAAAATTTTGTGAGTTTATATTTGAAACGAAGACTGTTTCAGTATTCAATATAATTATTTAAATATATACCTGTTTTTAAAAATATAAAATATGAAGTATATTTAATACAATCATTTCGATTTTACATAATAAGTTTATAATAATCATATATTTTTGTATTTTTACAGTTTAACATATATAGTTGACGTACAACTTTGCTGTTGCGACTCGTATCAGTGAGTGATAAATTACTTTTTATTTTAAATTTACGTTGCGCATACAATTACTTTTTTGCATGTGTACAAATTCTAAAAAATATACAATGCTCGACTACAAACTGCGCGCGCGAAGCGCGCGTTTTGTCGTTTTTAGTGTTAATTAAAAAATATATATATTTAAATAAATTATGTATGTTTAATTGAAAAACATATATAATTGAATTAAAGAAACAGCGGATAAATTTCATCGGGTATATCCATAGTTTTCAATCGGAAAACGTAATTGGAAAAATTAACCATCGGAAACATTATTTACCTAACTGGTTTATCCGATGGAAATTTTTCTCAGTGTCGAAATTGGCACACATTGGCACGCCCGAGAACCGGTCCTATATCCACAAGTTATTCAGCCCTTCAGCGTACAGCGTACAGAGTACTTTGTTAATTTAATGTCAGTGGCCTCGGTAAAGGCCAGCGAGATCTCCTTTCTTTCCCCGAATCGCAATTGAATTATCGCCAGATCAAAATTCGCGTCTTAAATCCCCCGCGGGCTCTTCTATCCGATTATACAATACATATATCCGAATCGGACATGCGTCTGATCCTATCGGAGCTTATATGGCCTCTTGCATAGTCTATCCGATCCTAGATCTCCGTGGAATTGCGAAATAAAATTTTTATGCAGCCCGCATTACGAAACAGTAGAACAAAGAAAGTCATAGGAACATAGTGTGGATTAATAGGTCTCGTACGGGCATATAAAACCGGCAACGTTTATTATCAGATTGGCAAAGATTATTATTGCTCCTTGCAAACGGATTACTCCGTGCAAGATGAACCTTCGTTAATTTCGTACGCGACTGCGAGTACATTTAGAAAAGATTTTTAATAAATTCTATTCGTCTTTCCAGCTTGCACATGTCAATGACGCACTTCGATAAAAGTATCTTTTCGAAATAAATTTGTCAAAAGTACATTTTTCAAAAGTACACTTCTACGTGAAATTAATACGCATTTAACAAAAGTTTAAATAAATGCAGTTGATCGAAATTACACGGTTTCTATTACCGTTCTCACGTTTGACTCGTACTCGAAGTTTCATCCCTCTAGAGAATTAAACTCCGCGTTATGCACGAGCCGATAATTTCACCTAAGAGCTCGATGTAAATGCAGATTCATTAATTATACGGACAAAGCGTTCGTCGACGCCGGTGTGAATTATGATTACGATCTATTTATTCCGACGTGGCGTACGCAGGGGCGAGTCGGGCCGTGAAATGTCGTAAACATTTTCAGCTTCGAACGAGCGTGACATGATTGCCTGCCGTATATCATCGTGTACCGCTTGTCGTACTCGCATGTTGAAACGCGAGCGCGATAAATGCCACGGCAGGGTTGTGCAATGGAAAAGTAGCCGGATTTTTGGTCGACCTTGCACTCGCGCAAAAAAAACCCGGCTACATCGGACAAACTCGTTCGAACGTATTTACCGGACCGCCTCGGCTCGAAAAATACTTAACCCTCAAATGCACAGCTTTCCGTAGCACTTTAAGACTTTTTCAAATAAATAATGACTGCTCGAGAAATTGGAAAAGAATATGTTACAAATTTTTTACCAACATTCGACAAAATGACCTTGCAACTGCGGCAATAATTTTCTTCATACGAAAAAAAAAACTGAGATATAATAAATGAATAGCCAATACTGCGAAATCGCATACGTTTCGTATTTAATCAATTAAAATTACAGAAACAGAATTTCTATCTCAATTGTTAGCGAATATTAAGAAAAAATGTTTCTGTAACACCCATCCATTATGTTCGAGCTGAAAAGTGAGGCGAGAGTTCCGCCAGGTTTTGTTAGATACGTAAAGTAGTAAGGTTCTCTATTATGAGATAGGATTCTAATAGAAGATAGCAGAGAATCCAACGTTTGATTGTGGTACCCAAACAGTTATGTTCCTTACAAAGAATGTTCAATACCGAGATTCATTTTTATCCAATGTGGATGATTAATAAAATATTTAGTCGCACTGAAAAAAAAATTTCGCTACCGTAGCATAATCACAATTTGCTAAAAATATTTTGCTGCACAGGTACAAATTTCTAAAGCACAGCAAACGGTTTGCTGTCTAATACAACATAGGCACAGTAGCAAAATATTTAGCTATCACAAATATTAGCTGTCCGTATTTTACAACTGAAATTTAGTTGCCACGTACAGTTTTTAGCTACGGCAGCTACATCTTTCATGCATGAAACTTTCCAGAAGATATTACTAGAATGTTGCTGCTATAAATTTTGTAGACTACAAACAACTTTCTAACAGACATACAAAATAGCGATAAATTTTTGTTACGACACCTAGAAATCTACCTTATACATTACTGTTTTTTTTCTTTTTTGAGTAAATTTGAATTTGCTTTGCATATATGCGCGCGCTTAAGGGTTAACTGTTCGCTTGGAGAAACGCTCTCACGTCTGTTTCGGCGAGGATATCGGTGAGGTAAGGCGGAGAACGCGAAAGACATGGAAAATGCGTCGCGCGTGAAGAAGCCGCAACAATGCGGAGGCATTAATTTTCCCGAACGCAACCGTAAGGCACGCAAAAGACACGCACGAGGAAAACCGCGACGCGCATCTCGGATTGCCCGAATTTCGCAATCCCCGCCTCTCTCGCAAGAGGAAGTTCGAGCCGGGGGTCTTTCACGTCGAGGTTTCCC